GAAGCGAAGACCAAAGAGGGATAACTTTTAAGGATAAAAGGGCCCCCCTCGAAGAAAGCGACGAAACGGTTCCAATATAATATGTCGCCAATCGAGCGATGACGGATGCTTGGTGCCATGGACCACCAAGGACCGCCGTGGACCACCAGCCCTTGTTGGCCTTGTCTCCGAGAGGGAAAGCAAGTCGTACCACCCGCCATTTCGTCCAATTCTGACCTTTTAATCTATGTCGATCGAAGAAACACACTGCAATCGCTGTTGGCATTGCTCGCCGTCTCCCGTGCCCTGTTTGTTTCCCCGGTTCCTGAGGCGTGACCCATTAGGATTTTCTATCCGCCTCGCCGCATCAACGATCGCCCACCTCGACAGTGTTTTCGGCGGGCATCCAAGCTTTCTCGCCCAATGATTTCGAGGGTCACACCTTCTGAATTCGAGACAGCAGCGCAACATTCGACTTCGCTAATCCGATGCAGCAGATTCAAATCGATCTGGCCGGGAAAACAGAGGCTCAAATGGAAGAACTGGCACACAGTCCGACGTCAACCACGAGGCATGGTAATAATAAGTCTACAATGTCCCAGCTTTCCTTCCTCCTCCAGATGATTGCGACTCTATCTCTTCTCACCGGACCTCCAGATCCCCTTCCAAAAATCCACGCGTGTGTCGCCCTCAATCGACATGTCCAAGAGTGGACATCCGATGGTTTACCTATTTGTGAACAAGGACAGGGCGTCTGCGTCTCTGTCCAGATGCCATGGAAAAGACGCCTCGGCTATCCTAAGCCACGTCCAGTCATGCCGCAACCAGAAGAACAAGCAGCTGCACATGTTCAGAGTTGAAGACACCACCGAGTTAGTAGGAGGCCCAACGCCTCCATCGCCTCGAAAGCAACCCGTCGGCCACAGACACCGTTCACCGAGATCAACCCCACCATTGCGAAGTGAAATGCCACAAACGCCCAAGGACCGTGCATTGGCCAGGCCTAGTGAGCCCGAGCCTGGAATCCGGTCAGCAAGCTCTCCCTCTCCTCGGGCCACTTCTCCGGGGAAGTCGCCCGAAGTCGAGGAACTACTGCAATATTTCAACTCCCTATGTTTGAGCCCAGAGCCACACGCCCCGGTCCATTCACACAGCCAAGATCTCTTCACGCAGATCGTCTCTTCCGAAGATTTTTCAAACTTCTCAAGACGGATCGTGGGAGGAATTCACGGATATGCCATGCTTGCATGCACAGCCGCGAGAATGGGGGCCGATATGCCCAGTCGACGCGAGGAGTTCGAGATAAAGGCAACCAAGTACATGCAACCGTCTCTGCAACGGCTGCGGGAGCAGCTTGCTGATCCAAACACGAGAACATTGACCGACCGACAGATCCTGCAGGAAATGCTCCTGCACTGTGTCACGAACTGGTACCTCCAGGACCTTACGGCTGCCCAAACGCACCTAAAGGCCATCCACTGTTTCACCGGGTGTCTTGATGTCTCCAACGCCTCGGATCGGAAGTTGATGGCTCTAATTAACAGGTGTGGTCTTTTTATCGCCAATAGCATACGCGCCGAGCAGAAGTCGCATCTCAGCTCGTGCCAGAGGACACAATCCTTTGCGGCGCGTGGGTTATGCCGGGTGGTCTGAAGAAAAGTGCAGCTCTCCATTTGTGGGCTTCTCTCGAGGAAGGGTCTGCAACAGATAGCCAGACTATCTATGCTGGCCGCATGTTAAACCAAAACCAACCGGGCATGATCAACCCAGTACTGGGTACGTCTTTTGAGAAAGTCGCGGAGTTGTTATCCGACTTACTAACGGGCGAGCGGGATAGCAAAGCCGCTGGCGCCGCCAATGGATACTTTCTTGAGCGTCGATCGGCCATGATCAAGGGTCCCTGCTAAAGGGTGGCGATCGACGGATATACATATGCCGCGGTCGTCGTGGGGTATGGTGTGTCGCTAATATATAGCCTGCAAGCCTGGATACCATACCACTATCTAGGGCACTGCCATAAATGAGGGCAACATGCGGCTCATTACCCATTGGCGTCAGAGGGCGGCTGGACATGTTGACATTTGAGCAGGGCGTCGTTTGGTCGAAGGCGCCAGGCCTCACTGCCTGGGATTAAGGATACCTTTCTCTTCATAGACATTCCACTCCAACACGATGAGACTGAAACTCTGTTCTAGCTGCCTTGTGTAAAAGTGCACTTGCTTCTTGGGAGATGACTGTGAACGTACCCGGTGGGTTCACAGGCCCAACACCACTACTGTCTTGGTTCCCGAACAACCATTTCGCTCGCCGACTGCCAACGCCTACACCCAGGCTTGCCCGTGTCTACTCACGTACACTCAATTCCTCAACAGTGAATGCAGCTGCTAAGCGGGCACATTGACAAGGGAACATGTGGAGCTCCTATGATGCAACCAACGGGGCATCCTCGTTAGACCGGAGTGAGAACTGTCAAGCAGCATCAGCCTTGCATGGTTTTGCCTTCGTAGAGAGAAGCTACCAAGTAACTGGTACATTAGAAAGCACCAGTCCCGAAGGAACTCTAATGGCAGTTTGAAGCCGTGCGAGTATGCTCGGAAACCTACGATGTGGGATTCACCTTGACCGTGGTTTCGTCGAGTGACTTGAGGCTTGTCATGCAGAAGGCCGCCATCCATGCATGCTTAAGCTTATGCACCATTACCCCCGAGAATCTGGTGCGGACCCTTTGGAGCAGGATGAAGCCGTGACGGTAGAAGGCTGGCGACGTATCCATTCTCTGACCATTCTGTAAAAGAACATGATAGCAACCACGTGGGCCTTCGACATTGTGTTTCGGAGGACGCCACATGTTGGGGGGACGTTGGACAAGCGCTGGTGGCCAAATCAAAGCGTAAACATTGCATTCCTACCTACGTCGACTAGAGAATTTTGCAGGGACCTGTGTAAAATCAAGAAAGCCCTCATAAGGACTTTGGCTGCCTGGAGATAGATTGGTACCAGGAGGCTGTGTCGGATGTTTGAGATTGATTGCCGCAGTAACCAAGACTCCGTTTATCCGCTGTTCCTCCACAACACAACTGGTGCCCCAAGGATTGACCGACCGCCATTATTGTTGCTATGATTTCTGTTACTCCGAGCAATATCGATTATGGGAAAAGCGCCCACGTCTAAGCGTCAACCTGATTCCATACACACCGCTGACACGATCTGGCATTCAATCCCCTCCTCGGAGCCCGTATAAAGCCTGCTTGATCGGCGCACAAACAGGGCAACAGGTCGACCAGGTTCTCACCTAGGCACGAAGTGTTCTCAGACCACCAGCTGATGACGTCAGCAGCAGAACGCAGTCACCTCAGTCACCTCAGTCACATTGTCCCACCAGTCAAGACACCCGTCGCCCAGTCGGTGCCCAGCTGGAGCTGAACTTTGAGCCATTCAGATTCCTCGCCTGTTGGGGGGACGACCGGGGAGGAAAAAGCAATCCCGCTAGCCTGACTGATGCGCTGTCCAAACAAAACTTTTTCAGCTTGATAAATTCTATTGCTGTGATCGAATCTACCCATTGAAATCCATCCTATCTCAGCAAGACTAGCAGCCATGTCTACGCGGGAAGACGACCGCTCCTACAAGGTCGTCTACTCAAGTCGAGCCAGAGACGAGTACGATGAGCGAATCCCATCCCGAAAGCCGAGGCGGGACCACGATTACGACCACGATGACGAGTACCGCATGGAAAAGTCGTACTCCCGCGATTATCGTGATGATCGCATAGAGATTGACAGGAGGTCCAGAACCAGTGACACACGGACCCAATTGCCACCGTCTTCCAGCGCAACTAAGACCACTTATGAAATCGGCCGGGACAGAAACTCCGAAGCATATGTCAAACGTTCCAAGGCTGTGGTGGTTGATCGACCCCGCGATCATGGCCGATACGAGTATGAAATTCTTCGACCCGAACGGAGAGAAGATGGAACTTATGTTGTCGATCTTGGCGGTGGACGTTCTCGCGACTACGTCGTTGATGTCGACTCGAGGGGTTATGATCGACCTCCGCGTTCGAGATACGGCGATCTACCACCAACGGCTTCAAAGAGGGTGGATGATGTGCTCACGTACGAGACTACTCGAGCTGGGGTTCATGACCGAACAGTGAGAGATGTGCGGTACAAGGATGTCCAAGTTACTGAAGAAGTCGACGATGACTCCCGCTACAACCGCCGAGGTCGCACGTCGGAGGCTTACGTCGACGAGATTGCTCCACCAAAACGACTGAGGAGTGCGATGCGCGGCCGAAATAACTCGCCGCCGTCGCTCGTGGAACGACGGAGCGAACACAGTGTGGGATTCTACAGAGATCAAATCAGTCACCACGATGCCAGTGAAAGCAGGCATGAAAGGCCAGGCGCTGAGGCACATTTGACTGGCCGATACCTTGTTGGCAATGGGGAATACGAGGATGAAGTCTATGCGGCTGGTTATACTCGCCGCAACAGAAGCCGAAGCCGCTCCCGAGGAAGGTACGGTCCCCAGAGGAGCGACCCAAGGCTACATGAGCACGATGAATACGACGAAGAGCGACGAACCTACACCGAGGAGACGATGCGGCAATATGAGTACGAAGACGAACAACGCCCGTATCCTCCACAGAGGAGCCATTCCAAAAGACGACACCACCGCCATCATCGCCGTGATGACGACCGCGACAGCTACTCGGAGTATGATACTGAAGTAGTGAAGCGGACCACCAAGGAATATTACCGATGAGATTGGGGCAGCAAGGCCTGTGCCTTTGGTCTGCCATCTAACCTCGAGATGTGACTGGTTTTTCCTTGGAAGGGGATTGACTATCTTGGTTGGTACCTATGGTATTTCAAAGGCTTAGGAAAACCTCACGGGCATAATATCTGGGTATTGTGTTCCTGTAACCCCCGCCTCGACATCATCCGCGAATAAGAGACGCTAAATACTCTGCACATCGCTCCTGACCAAATCCAGCCGTATCGTCAGCTACTCCTTATCTACTGAGGGCCAAACTCCTTTGCTCCGATCGACACCGCAACACCGGCTTTCTCCTCGATTGAATCTTCCTCTGATGGCGCAACTCCGACTTCCACGTCTGTTGCCTGCGACTTAGATGGTGGATACACTGCCTCATCGATCTTCGCAGCGCCTACGCCCGAGACGTAAGTGCAGACGAGGTAGTAAACCAGGCCTGAGACGGTAAAGCCATATATGCAGGAGAAGGTATAGATCTTCCAAGCACCTCCGACGTTGAGGTTGGCGTCGATACTCTTGCAGAAACCCGGCAGCAACGGTGCGACCGCGACGAAGAAAGACGTATATGCCCTCCAGTTGATACCGATTTTGGAGTATCGGTAGATGCCGTGGCCGTTGTACATCTCGTGGATGTTGAGCTTCTTGTTTACGATAAGGTAGTAGTGGCAGCACATTGTCCCGCAAATGGCCCCCATGAACATGCTGTAGCCGGACAAGAAGGCCAACAGTCCGGAGGCGTTTCTGATGATCTGCCATGGGTTCGACACGACACAGAAGACGGAGATGATCAAAGTGGCGCGGAAGATGTTGATGTACTTCGGGCACAGACCAGAGACTAGCGCACCAGGTTAGCTCTCACTGATTGAGTTTAAAAGCAAGTCCAGGGGAGGCTTACTATCGTTGGAAAACGGATACGTTCCCGCCGCGATCTGGTTACCGATCGTGGCCAACATGAAGCTGAATGCCGTGAAGAACTTGGCGGCACGGGAGTCGAATTTGGCAATAACAGCAGGCATGTACCACTGGAATTCTCCCCACAGATAGCTGTGGGCCGAGGTGACGAAGATGGGAGTCAGGGCCCCCAGCGTTCCAATGACGGGCAATGCAAAGAATTGGTTGTATCCTTTCAGATTGTTCTTGGAGAATCGACTGAAATCCGGGAAGTTGACCGCCATGGAGCTGAAGAGGCCGATGATTGCGTTCAAGCCGGTGAGAGAGGAATATGCCGTGTTCATGTATGTCGAAGTCATTTTGGCATGCCCGGTCACAAGTGGCCCGCCTCCCTTTGTGACGATGGCGGCCCACAAGAACAGGGCGAGGAAGGTCGGTGGGACAACGATGCCCTTGATCAGGAAGAGGATCCGGAGCTTCTTGATGGGCATGCAGGCAAGAATCGTCTGAAAGATCCAGTAGATGAACTAGAAGTTTGTCAGTCCGGTTGTCGGACGAAGGAAGTGGTTATACTCACAAAGCAAAGAAGCCCGGCTGAAGTGATTCCAGCACTCTCAGGCAAGTGATTGGGGAAATTGGCGAAGCTTGGCCAGATCGCCGTGAGACAGTTGTTGAGAAAGTCGCCTGCCTGGACACATAGAATTGCCGCTGTCCAGCAATGTCAGCTTGGCGCCCATACCCGCAAAAAAACCACGCGCAGAGGGTTTTGGCTTGAGGGTGCAAAACCCCTCTGTCAGGATATCAAAGGGAGGCTTACTCCACATGGCAGCCACGAACGATCGAAGAACGATGACCGGATAACTTCCATACATTCCGAACATGGAGCGGACGAGCACTGGAAACGGAATGCTGTATCGAGCACCCATCTTTCCTGTAAGGGTCAATGCTCCCGAGCATAACGCGAAGCCGCAGAAGACAATCGGGATCTAATATGTGGTCGTCAGCGTTAGGAAGCCATCTTCTGAAGGGCAGAGCTTTGGCATTACGCTCCTCCCACCCTGGGCAGGTTCAAGGTACTCACCGTCTCGCGAGCCGTAAAACCCAAGCTCATGACAGATGACACTGTGGATGCCAATGGAGGCGCAAGCATATCACTAGTCCAGTACGCCCAATAGTCCTGTGGAAGAGAGAAGTCAGTCCTGTAGGTCTGACATCTCTTGGGAAGTCGGTGGCAAGGCACATACCAAAGCACCCCAAGTACCTGCAAGTATCTGTTAGCCAGGACCGACATGGAGGGAGCCTCTGAGCAGGGACTGCCGCATTCTAGCGAGAGGAGGCACTTACGATTCTCGGGTGTGATAGGGTCAAGATCTGGGTTAGACCAGCGAGAGTCTTGGTAAACGCCCTTTTCCATGGGCACTTGCCAGTGCAGCTGAGGCTCGATCTTGGCCTTGATGCGCTTGGGCGACAGGCGCTTCGGCGAGAAGCGTTCTGCGGAGAAGTTGACCATCTTGCAGTTGGGATGTTTCAAAGTCAAGGAACCAGTGCACTGAGAGATGCGAGGACTGAAGGATTGAGAATCTCCTGCAAAAGCGGGAGGCCAAACAGAGATCTATATAGCTCTTCAGCTCATGGTCTGGAAAATCTTCAATCTCCAAGGCTGGAATCTTGCAGGATAGACGACAGGGGTGGGGCATGCACAGATAGACATGGGAGCCACGAGGGAACAGGGAGATAGGCCCCGCGGCAAGCGGTCGAAGGCCCGCCGTGGTCATCAGATCTTCAGATCCAGGCTCATTCAAGTCTGGAGAGATCAAAATCCGGGGTTGGCGTGATAGTGGACCAACTCAGCACCAAAAGATATGGTGGTGGTGGAGCGAGCAAACGAGATAGAGCCGCCGGCCACGAAAGGGCGCCGCCGGCGAGACCCGTGATATGGACGTCACGTGGCGTTTGGCTCTGACAATACCGCCGTCGGCCACAAGGGCACCACCAAGGCGGAGATGGGGCCAGCGGCCGCCGGCGCCTGAAATATTACAGGCCAGCCGATACGAGGCTAGCCTGTTCGGGTGTATTCGGAGACATCGGCCTTATCAGTTATCACGGCCTCGCCTTGCGCCCCATTGGGAGGCCAGACATTGGCCTGCGTGGTTCAGCCACCTCCAGATTTCCCACGTTGTGGTGCGTAGGGTCTTGAGTGTGCAGTATGTTTTCTTGACTAAACGACATCTATGATTGCAACCAGACAACCGTCCGTCCGCGGTGGATGTCTCCAAGGTTCTGTCTCGTATAAAGCCTCACATCTCCGTCAGCCGTAAACCCTGACTCGAGACTTCCTATACCGCTCCAGTCGGGTGTCCGCCATTTGGGTGATTGTGTTTTTCCGAGCATCAGTACTCAGTCATGGGCATGTCAAAGGACAAGCAAGGCTTCCTCACCATCGAGGCAAAGCCCTACCCCTTTTCCTTCCCCCTCAAACACACAGCGCTGCTGGTGATTGACATGCAGCGCGATTTCATCTGTGCTGGAGGCTTCGGCGAAATCCAGGGCGGGAATCTAGAGGCTGTCCAGGCTTCAATTGCTCCAACGAAGCAACTACTGGACGCGTGCCGAGATGCCGGCATGCACGTCTTCCACACCAGAGAAGGCCAGGTCCCCTCTCTGGCGGACTGTCCTTCTTCGAAACTCGTTCGACAGGCTGCCGCACCGGGCAACACGCAACATCTGAAAGTTATCGGCGACAAAGGCGAAATGGGCCGGCTCCTAGTTCGTGGGGAGTACGGTCATGACATCGTCGACGAGCTGCAGCCACTCCCTGCAGAGGTGGTCATTGACAAGCCTGGCAAAGGCTCGTTTTGGAATACTCAGATCCTGCACAAACTGAAAGCCTACGGTATTACCCACCTTCTCGTTTCCGGGGTCACGACAGAATGCTGCTTTTCGACCACGATCAGGGAAGCCAATGACAGAGGGTTCGAGTGCTGTGGCATCGTTCAAACCACTGCCGGCTATAACTCAGATTTCAAAACCGCCTCGCTCGACATGATATACTGGTCACAAGGCCTGTTCGGGTTTGTTGCGGATCTCCAACCTGTTCTGGATGTGCTTTCCCCATGGCAAATTCAGAGCAAAGGAGTCAGCACCCCTCCACAAACACCACCGTCTTGGGATGGAAAGCTCGGAATTGCCGACCTCCAAGCCTCGTATAAGAATGGCCTATCTCCCCTCGAACTGGTCAATGCCTTGTACGATCGGATTGAGAAATATGAGCACATTGATGGGGCGGTCTGGATCCGACGAGAGTCGAGAGAGGCCGTCTTGGCGCAAGTCAGACGCCTCCTCGAGCTCTATCCAGACAAGCATGCGCGCCCAGCATTGTTTGGTGTGCCGTAAGCATTTCCAGAAACCTTGTAGTGGTGGTCCTAAGATGGCTACTCGGAGGATCTGCCTCTCCTCGAACGACTTTTGGATGCTAACTATTCGACAGTTTCACGGTCAAGGACTCTATTGACGTCCAAGGCGTCGAAACCACCACGGCTTGTCCACCGTTGGCGTTTGTGGCCACCAAATCCGCCGCGTGCTACCAAAAAGTGATTGGACAGGGAGCCTTATACCTGGGCAAAGTCAACTTGGATCAATTAGCAACTGGACTGAGCGGGTGCCGAAGTCCGTTTGGTATCACGCACTCCGTTTTTAGCGACGAGCACATATCTGGCGGGAGTAGTAGCGGAAGTTGTGTGAGTGTGGGCGCCGATCTGGTAGGTCAATTATGTCCTTGGGGAGTTTTTGACGTGCGCCACTGACCGGGCGGTTCCAGGCAACCTTCTCACTGGCAACAGACACCGCCGGGTCTGGTCGAGTGCCAGCTGGCTTCAACGGCGTAGTCGGGTACAAGCCAACACGCGGGTTGGTGTCTTTTGAAGGCGTGACCCCCGCTTGCTTGTCGCTTGACTGCATCGCCTTCACCGCTAGGACAGTCGAAGATGCCCGCACGCTGTGGCAAATCTGCGAGGGATACGATGAAAGTGATCGCTATGCCAGAGATACGTAAGTTCTGCTTTTGACCGCTCTGGCAAATGTCAAGCTGGCCTGACCGAGATTGCAGATTCCCGGCCGAACGACACGTCAACTCGCTAGGTGCACAAAGGGAGGCATTTCGATTTGGAATTCCTCCCCCCGAGCTTCTCGAAGTCTGCTCACCTAGCTTCCGAAAACTGTTTAATGAAGCCATTGCACGGCTCCAAGCCATGGGAGGGACTCTGATGCCGATTGACTGGACCCCATTTCAGAAAGCGGGAGACTTGCTCTATGAAGGCACGTTTGTTTCGGAGAGACTGGCTAGCTTACCCGACGATTTCCTAGACAAGAACAGGCCGCATCTGCACCCAGTCATCCTCGAGCTTTTTGAGAAGGTAGTGGCACGACAGAGCACAGCGGTACAATTGTTCAGAGAGCTCCAGGCCAAGGCCTTGTACTCCAGACAAGCCACCTCGCAATTCGCGTCTGCAACCCAATTAGGGATTGACGTCGTGGTGGTGCCGACGGCGCCGTGGCATCCAACGATCAAGGAAATGCTTGCAGATCCCATCGGGCTGAATGCAAAGATGGGCACCTTTACACATTTTGCAAACGTGTTAGACATGTGCGGCATTGCAGTGCCATCGTCGACATATCAGGAAAGCGAGGCTGGACCCCGGTTGCCGTTCAGCGTGACGTTTCTGGGCAGCCGTTGCTCCGACAGCGAGGTGCTGGGGATTGCCAGCCGATATCAGGAGGCGACGGCACGGTAGGGCGGAAAGAGGCGCTTTGCTGTTTGACGAACAAGACGATTGCCGACCTTCCTTCTGGTTGTGTTTTTATGATAAAAGAGCGGTGCTGGTTGCATTAGGGCGAGGACGCCCACAGGCCCAATATCGAAGGTTGAAGCGTCTCACCCACGCCCAAGGCTTCCCGTCTTGTCCCGTCCAAAGCCTGTGGTGCCTGTGCGAGCCACCAAATTCTCCGCTGGCTCACCCACCCCCTTCAGCCCGATGCTGCCAGCCAATCGAGTGGCCGGCTTCCTTATCTCGAGCAGCACTCGAAAACGACACTAGACGGCGCTCTCTGTTATTTCTTACTCAATCAATTGCTGGGCCATTCGCTATACAGGGCTAGACATGACATGTCCTGGACGCCTATTAGTTGCCGGGGCTCCGCTTCCAAGTCTCAGCGTTAGGTCGAGATCTTGACTTTACCCGTTTTCTGATTCCCCCCCGGGATGCCAGACAAGTCCCAAGTCCTACCAGAGCACAGAAGCTTATCCTGACGCGCTTCAGGGACACAATCGAAATGACAGAGCCCATTCGATCGGAAAGCGAGAAACATAAAAATTACAGCCCCAAAAAGACCAGCCCCAAGATTTGCAAACTGATATGGCTCTCTTGTCCTGAGCTCTCTTGTCCTTCTCGCCCAATAAAGGCAGCACTTTGTCCGAAACGAAGTAATGGCCATGCTCTCTACCATGGCGCCTCGCTCCTTCGGTGACCCTACTAATAGTAATGGTTTCAGTCCCTCCTTTGCCGGCCCAGGTCCTGGTAGTGGGAGCGGCACTATGACATCGTCCCCCAGTGCTCGCGTGGGTGATGGGCCGAGCCCCCTAGGCGTTCGACCCGACCGACCATGTGACGGGTGTCGACGTCGCAAGAGTCGCTGCGTCATCAACCCAGATGCTGCCTCTTGCGTGATGTGCCAATTCCACAAGCAGGCCTGTACCTTTATCGAAGAGGCAGCTCCGCGGCGACGAAAACAGCCCAACAACCCTGGGCCTGGGGCGAGTGCTGCAAACTCCGAGAATGCTTCGGTTGCTTCCCTAGCTCGGCAGAGACGATCGTGAGGACCCCCCTTTTTCCCACCCTTTATCAAAAACCCACCCCTCCCTCGTCCACCCCCAAGACCACTGCTCCGGGTCTGCGTATGTTTCCCCCTATCATCAGGCTAAAGCATAGATAACAGAGGTTCCGATGGCAATGGCCCTGCCCCACGACGGCAATCTGCTGAATCCATTCGCATTGGCCCTGTCATCGACGATTATGCAAACTTGCAGGGCGAGTCACTACTGAAAAAAACGCTGGGGTACGTATAGTTGTGTCGTGGTGGAAAGTCCCTGTTCCGCAAGAGCCTTGTCTTTTCTCCTCACCCACCTTTATTTCCCAAAGCTGATATGGTCATGGCTAGGCTGCAAAATCATAGGTATGCCAAATGTAGGTTGCCCTTTTAACACTGTTGTCATTTTCGGTCGATCTCAGCACCCGGCAAGTCTTTATGTATATAGGTACCCGCTAACGGAGACCTCGTTAGACATTGGACCTACCGACGAACATGACTTTGCCCTGCTAGATCTTCGACTGTACGACGACATCAAGGGTGAAAGTCCCGCTGATCAAGGTTCTTTCCGCAAAGTCGGACCCAATGAGTTCTTCCACCAATATGCCGACTCCGACTCGCCGAATCATGCAAGAGAGGTCGAGGAGCTCGACAACATTGAACGCATCGTCGCCCCTCACGGTGAAGCTCTGATCAAACTCTACTTCCGGATAGTCCATCCAAGCTTTCCCATCTTGCATAAGAAGGTCTACTTGGAGAAGTATGGCCGGACCCATCGGGAGTTCTCGCCTCCCTTACTTGCTGCCGTATACATCCTGGCCTTGAATTGGTGGTCCTACAGCGCCGAGCTCGCGAAGCAGACAAAGCCAAACGTCGGCGAACTTGAAGACGTCGCCTACCGAACGTTGCAAGACGTCTCACACCGAGCAAAACTATCCACCGTGCAGGCAGGGCTGCTGCTACTGCAACGACCGGGCAGCAACCAGGCGTGGCAGCTGACCGCTCAACTCGTCGCCATAAGCCAAGATCTTGGGTTGCATCTGGACTGTTCAAATTGGCGAATACCGTCTTGGGAAAAAGGGCTTCGGAAACGACTGGGCTGGGCTCTTTTCATGCAAGACACTTGGTCGGCCTTGATATACGGACGGCCTCCTCACATTTCGTCGACCAACTGGGCCGTGCAGCCTGTGATCAGTAGCGATTTCCCCGAAAGTGCCGCCGACGAGGATGAGGAGGACGGCAGCACCGAGGTCGAAAAGGGCAGGACTCTGTTCAGTGCGATGATCACTCTGACCAAGATGCTTGCCGAGGTGCTGGAGGCGCTCTACTCGCTGAGGTCGGAAACCGAGGTCAAGAATTCCTACGACAGCACCAAAGCCATCCTTGACCGCGCCAAACCGATTCAACTCAAGCTTCGATCTTGGTACGCCGACATGCCCGAGACGCTGCGCATGGACGCCACCAGAGTCGGCAAGCTGAGCTCGGTGGGCTACCTGCACCTGGCCTATTTTGCCACGGAAATCACGCTGCACCGACGGATCCTGCGCTCGCTCTCGCACAACACAGACCCGTACATGATCCAAATATGTCGATCAGCCGCAAAAGCTAGACTCATCAGCGCCATGGACTTTTTCAACCGCCTCAAGCCCGAGCACCTCCAGTCGTTCTGGTACTTTGCCTCGAAATTCAACTTCGCGCTCATCGGCACCTTTGCGGGTCTGTGCTTCGTCACCTCAGTCAGCCAGGAAGAGGCAGAGTTCTACCAGAGACGGCTGCAGGAGTACCGGTGGACGCTGAGGGTGTCGAATAAGAGTGCCGAGTTCTTGGAGATTGCTAGTGGCATTCTCGAGTCGGCCGTGGGATCGTTGCTGAAGGCTGCAGATGCCATTGACAGTCGACGATGGTCGTTCCCCATGCTTCAACAACAGCCCGAAGAAGATACGGCGATGGAGTCGTTCTTCCCCAGTACTGAAGATGCCTTCTTTGACACGCAGATGGAGTCGTGATTCATTGACGCTCTCGGATGATTGCCACAATTCTTCACGGGGGCGACACCGGACCCCTTTATGCTCAGAGCTGTGTTTCTGGGCGACTTTCCAAGCACTTCCTGGAGAGTCGGCGGAGTCCGTCAGAGGGACTATCGCTTCTCACTAAATAGGGCCGACAACGTACCCGAAACCCTGACCTGCTCGAAAACGTAGCACCTTGCGCAAGTGGATGATATTGCAAAAGCTCCCGCTGTCTCACCACCGGAATTTCGACGCCAGCACTCCCCCCTAAGCAACATGACCACACGCCGCTTTTTGCTCGGGTTGGCACGCGCCTGGCTCGACTTCGGCCACCTCACACCTCACCCTTCGCACTGCAGTACAGGACCCAACGAATCCTCGGACACGGATAACAATGCGTCAACGCGGAGCCTAATATCCGTCCACCATATCTGAGAAATCTCTGCGCTGTCCTGTGAAGCTCAATGGAGTTGTTGTCGGGGGAAGATGGCGTCGCCGCCAACGCCGACCATCACTCAGTCCTGGTGGCCTGCCCCTGCTCCATGCAGCGAATCACGGGTCCTAAGGACGACAATTGACGTTTAAAGATGTCTTATCCTAATGGGCTCTTCTGGCATCGGCGGCAGCGGCGGCCAGAAATCTCCCCAAAAGAGGCATTCTGTTACATCGAGGCGGGCGACTTCCTTACGCCTAGGTACTTGACCAATGTCTCCTTCAAGAGTTTCTGTGTTGGCGGGAGAATAAATTGCGCAGACGGACCCGTCATCAGTATTCTGTGATGTTGGTCCCTTCGGTTGGCGGGCCAATGGTATCCCTCCCGGTTCTGCGGAATGTCTGTCTACCCTTTTCTCGACATCCATGTTTGCCGATTCACCTCTATTCTGTTGCCGAAGGGGCCAAGCGGAGGGGTGCGTATAGTACCATGCTGCAGGCGGTGTGTGGCCTCTCTCTTAACACCGCTCTCGTGGTGCTGCTACGCACAGACGTTGTAAAGGGAGTTCATTCGTGCAAGAGGGCCGATACAAGCAAGATCTAGACAGCAAAGGCCGCTATATATACGCGCCCTCCCCAATTACCAATACAAACCCGCCACTGGTGGTTCTTCGGGCAAAACTCTGAACCACGAATACAAACCGTCTTATCGTTCCGTGCTTTCACCCCGTGGAATGAGACGGTTGTGCCCGTCTGACTGGCTTTTCCAAACTTGGCAGCCAGCAAGAAAAGTTATATCTTTGTCTTGATCTTTTTGGGAGGCACAGTCTCATGAACAGCCAAGATAGTGATGATGACAATAAAGGTGATCCCAGTGTTTATTGGTGTGGCTTACCATGAACATCGAAGTTTCCGTCGATGTCTTACATAGTTCGTGCCAGAGAGTTCATCATGTAGCTGAAATATTGGCGGTTCCTGGGAGACGAAAGGAGGGAGGCCACGCAAAGAAATGCGGCCGGATTGGAAAGAAGACCAAGGGCAACACAGCCTGGCGTAGCGTTCGTGCCCCCCCTTCAAGTTAGGGAGGTTGTCACAAAACTTCTCACTTTCTTAGTGGACAAAGCAGATTTTCAAATAGACCTCAAAGCCTACTACGTATCGAATCTTGAAATTTTTCGCCGGCCATTGGATTGGCCTTTGAGCTGGGCGCCCTTGAGCACGATTACCGGGGCTGGAAAGAGTTTGCTTCGACCATGAGCATGGTGTGTGGTCCTGACTGGGCATTTGTCGGGAACAGATCGAAGACTGGTGTTATCGAGGCCTTCTATCTAGATCTGGAAAAAAACCGAAGAAAAAAAAATGAGACAAAAAGTCACTCTCTCCCTCGGGGAATCGAACCCCGGTCTCCCGCGCTTGCATACGCAGATGACGATATGACAAGCGGAAATCATGACCACTAGACCAAGGAAGACGAATTCACTGGGTTAGAGCCCTGTGACTTGGTTCTGATTGTGGGAGACAAACGGGCAACTTGATAATAAGAAGTGATAAAATATTTTAGTGGAGCCGTCATACAAGACACCCACGTGACACCGCGCTTATCTTCATCGAACGGAGTTTCGAGACTTCAATAATACATATTACAATCCCTGTTTACATCAGGAAGATACATAGCAACAGATTGCATCTCATGACCCCTGAATCCAACAATGATGTGAGCGACGCGCTCTCCCTGCCTTCTCCTCACAGACATGACTGTCTTGCCTGTCCATTCAGTTGTGACATTTGGTTGCACTCGCCAGCCACTGATCCCACATTGAGCCGCTCTTCAGAGTGTAATCGAGACAGCTCTTCTTTTGGCCTTTGCGATGATCTTGTCCCAGCCTGTGGTGGCATTGGCTCCCGTCCAACCTTGTGAAATTCTACCATTACAAGAGCCGTGCGGATTGGCGACTGTGAGAGCGGGCAATCTCACTATCTCGCCTCCACATGCTTCAGGGGGTCGGGTATGCTTGGATAATGCATTTGCAGTTGAGGCTCCATTTTTGCGAGCAAAAACATGTTCACCGCCCTCTTCAGCCGCCTCGCATCGGCTTTTGGATGTGGTGCCGGTAACAGGTCCTCGTTGATCAGGCTGGGTGAAACCATGCTCAATCACGTGCGGGACATCTCGGATTGAAGCAGCGGCCCGAAGATGTTGGAATAGAAAGTTCTGATGTCGAGATTCCGACGTCGAGCCCGTTGTTACACGAAAGGCGGGTCGCGTCGATTCCCAACATCTCAAATGCAGACAGCGGTCAAGTCCGTTTCGACAGGCCGACGCTTCTCTCCTCAGTACTGGCGGGCGCCTTATCCGGATTCATACTCTCCACGGATCGTCACACATGATGCAATTAGCAACTCCGGGGTCGCGGGTCATAGAATGGCAATACTGATACTTATGTCCTCTCTCGTTTCAAAGACATGAGATTGCGGAGATGCACGGGCCATACAGTCTCATTCGCGATCACAATGGCAACCGCAACCGACGTTGATCTTCACACGGTGCTCAGCACGACGCAGCAGAGCCCGCCAGATACCCATGCCCACAGCAACGAAGCCTCAACATCAACCTCGTTGACTCCCGTTTCGGTTGAACCGGATTTGGGCTCGGAGGAGGAGGCACCCGTAAATGCTGCAGGGTCGATACCCGAGGGAGGCTACGGCTGGACGATTGTCTCGATTTGTGCGCTCTTGACGTTCTGGTTTAATGGGATCAGCGGCAGCTGGGGAGTCGTCCAGGCGGCTCTTTTGCGGTCGCAGCTCACCGATACGCCCACGTCGACCATTTCTTTCGTCGGCACTCTCGGACTCGCCTGCGTCGTGGCATTCGGGCTGTTCGGGATCCGTCTGGTTCGCCTTGTTGGCGCACGTACGGTGGCTCTGCTAGGTGTCGCCCTTGTTTCACTGGGCGAGATCTGTTCTTCCTTTACGACATCCAACATCGGGGGTCTGTCTTGGTGCCTGCCTATGCTATTCAATCTCCAACACTCTGCCGACACAGTATTTTATGGCGCGACTTGGCCTGGCTTCTGGCCTGGTCAAGTTCGGCGGCGGCAGTGGTGCTACTGTTCTCGCCGTAGCGATTGACGCACCGATTAATCGAGTGGGCATCCCGTGGACATATCGAATCCTGGGCTTGTGCTCTCTTGCCACGAGTGGACCGGCCGTGTAGTTTATGCAGGAGCGAGTCCCCATTGGAAGGGTCCCCTTTCTTGATCTGTCATCTTCAAGAATCTGCCCTTTACAGCAATCTTTTGTGCTGGCGGGGTTGGGACATTTGCACTCTTCGTCCCCCCATTTGTCCTCTGGTCGCGCAGAGGTTCGGTCTGAGCTCGTCCACCGGGGCAGGACTAGTCGGTGCTTTCAACGCATGCACCGCCGTTGGCCGGTTCGTCTCGGGCTGGCTCAGCGATTTCATCGGCCAGTGAATATATTCTTGTTGGGGATGATCCTGAATGCTGTGAGTATGTTGGCCATCTGACCTGTTTCCGACTCTCTCGCTCCCCTTGTGGTCTTTGCCATGTTGAACGGCCTGGCGAACGGCGGCTTTTTCACCCTTTACCCAGTCGTGGTGGCCAGCATGGCTGCTCGCGTTGAGAACAGCGAGTCCGGCCGCGTGGCGATATCAATGGGCATGGCAATCTCGGGGTGGACAGGGGGCTATTTGATGGGCGTGTGAGTGCCTCCCTTCCTTTTGCTGCGGTCTGATTTCCGCGAATCAGCTGACTCTAACCAACCCTGGTCCCTACTGTAGACCTATTGCAGGCTATCTCCTTCAAGCCTCGGGGCTAGGAGGCTCAGGAGGAACACAACAGGCCAAGTCCGGCGCCTCGATCGATCCATACAGGCTGGCGATATTCTACGCTGGCGGCGTCGCCCTCGCGGCAGCCGCGGGTGTCTCGATTGCGAGACTAAAACTCGAACACGGCGTGAGGAAGAGGGTCTAATAACTCATGAATCGTTGTGGACTGGCCATGAGAAAAACTATGCTAGTTGTTCTGGACACGCGGGCCATGTCGTCTGCGCATGAAATGTAACAATAGCGATATATCTACACAAAGATCCATTCATGAATGGAAAGGAAAGAAAATACCATGGGCTCCGCTGAGAGCATCAGTGTGAGTATGGGCATGAGCGAACTGCTCCATAGACGAGCATCTAACTACGTACTTGACTACTCACTACCCCCTTACTTCGCCACCTACATACCTAGCGAGCCCAGGGAGATACGGAGTACATATAGTACATCACATAGACAGCTCCGTGATTCCACCGTCTCCTCAGAGGAATAACTCTACCTTCAGCTTCCACTTCAGCCTCCTTACTGAGCTACTCACTCACTCAACCACTCGCTCACTTACACTCACTCACTCAATTTATGCATCTACTCATGTCCTCAGCCGCTTCTTTCCTTGATTCCCTTGGGATTGGTGCATATTCCACAACAAAGTCCGTTCTTCTTCTCTCTGTATGATAAGTACTCCGTCCCCAGCTCGCTCAATATGAGAGTCGGTGAATGAGTATGGACTCCGTACTGTAGGCAGTAACCGACCTAGAACCGAGCTCTCAATACTGATATTTAACATGCCCGAATTTTCGGCCGAGAGAAGGCCTCGTCACCCACAACCATGGACATAATTGGGTACATAGATCCGAGTGGCTACAGTAGCTGTTGTGTAAGTACCACCGAGCTGGTCTACCTAACAACAAACAGCCCCTACAAATCTCACATTCTGGAGCGGGGGCCTAATTATGCACGCAGGGTTTAGCCTTCTCACATGCGTATCTATGTCCTCCATATTTGCCCAACTAACCAACGGCGCCTGGTGTCCGGGAGTAATGCCACGACATAAAACTAACTACCTGCTGCCCGCCTGACCAATCGACCAATGCACAACAAATGCAAGCTACAACTCACTCACACTCTCTCACGGCTATATCAATCACGCCTATTGGCCCGAGCGCGCCTCGCAAGGTTCCCCCGCGCCGAAAGTGCTCGAGTCTCTAGGCTCTAGTTGGATTCTTGCCTCGGTTCGAAGCGACACATAGCCTCTTTTTTTTGGCTGGAGCCTGGTGGGAGAGGTGAGTTGGCCTTAGGATGGCTGGGACCTGAGAAGCTCGGAAGGATTTCTAGGGTGTGTAGGCATCGTATAAATAAGACAGGAGGAAGACACAGTTGCATCAGGTACGATATTAGATGGTAGAGGAAGGGCAAGGGAAGAAGAAAAGGGTACAAAGAAAAGAAGGACGAAAAGGGCCTTAATCTTGGCGGCCGGGTCAAAGAATAGGTATATAAATAAGACTTCACAACCGGTCCAGTCCAGTCCAGTCCAGTCCAGAACACACCAACCCAATTCAATTCAGTCCAATCCAGTCCAAAGAGAAAGCAAAAATCATGGCTATGGTCCAAGGCCACTGCGACCCTCGCTTCGAACCTGTCAAGCAACTGCTCGCGGAGAAAATCGCCAATGGCGAAGAGCTGGGCGCCTCGCTCGTGCTCAACATCGGCGGCAAGGATGTGGTCGACATCTGGGGGGGATACTTTGACGAAGCCAAGACGAAGCCCTGGGAGTCGGACACCATCACCAACGTGTGGTCGTCGACCAAGACGATCGCGACCTTTGCGTGCCTGGTCGCCCACGAGCGCGGCCTGCTCAACGTCGATGACCCCGTGGCCAAGTACTGGCCCGAGTTCGGCGCAAAGGGCAAGGAGGGAGTCCTGGTCCGCCACCTCATGTCCCACACGGCCGGCGTCGCGGGCTGGGACGACAAAATCACCGCCGAGGAGATCTGTGACGTGCCCAGCGCGACAGCGCGTCTGGCCGAGCAAGCGCCCTGGTGGGAACCAGGCACGGCCAGCGGCTACCACTCAGTCTCCATGGGCCACCTGCTAGGCGAGGTGATCCGGCGCTCGACGGGAAAGCCCATGAAGCAGTTCGTGGCCGAGGAGATAGCGGGGCCTCTGGGCGCAGACATGCAGATCGGGGCCGCCGAGAAGGACTGGCCGCGCGTGTCGCCCGTGACGCCTCCACCGCCCATGGCCTTTGACTTTGCAAAGATGGACCCCAACAGCCCGACGGTCAAGGCGTTCAGCAACCCGCCGATGGACGCGCGAGTCGCATTGGAACCCTACTGGCGCCGCGCCGACATGGCGGCCGTCAACGGGCACACCAACGCGCGCTCCCTGAATCGCATCCTCCGCGCCATCCCCAACGGCGGCACCGTCGACGGCGTCAAGCTCCTCTCCCCGGAGACCGTCGAGCTGATTTTCCGCGAACAGGCCAACGGCACTGATCTGGTCATCGGCATGCCCCTGCGCTTCGGCATCGGATACGGTCTCGGCGGCGGCTGCACGGCACAGACCGTACCCTGGCTGCCGACGGAGAAGATGTGCTTCTGGGGCGGATGGGGCGGCAGCCTGGAGATCATGGACTGTCATCGCAACGTCACCTTTACGTATGTCATGAACAAGATGGGCGAGGGCATTTTGGGCAACAGTCGCTCCAAGGAGTTTACCGAGCTGGTGTGGAAGATTCTGAAAGAGCAGGAGGAGGCTTGAGCTAGATAGAAGCAGCATTTAGAGTGACAAAGGTGACCAGGGAATTGTAGCACGCAGAAAGTGCCTGGCTGACAAGGCTAGCTTGCCGCAACCGTCACTGACCGAGCAGCCCGGGCGTGAAGCTTTGAACTGTCAGGGGCTCATGTATGGTAGATAGACATCTCCCCTCATCTACGTATCTAGCCATTCTCCCAACAGGGGTACATACTCTGATCAGGACGGCTTGTTTGCTCTTCCGCTTTTCTAGGGAATAGCAGTGCTGTGACAAGCAGATTGCGCAGCTCTCAAGTCTCAAATGAAGCGGCATTTCTTGACTGCAAACTGACCGTTGCTCGCGATGGACATGGTCCACTTCAACGGGTAGCCGAGGCTACGAGGACAGATGAAGTTCGCCTCCCCAGAGCATTTCGACCTGGACTGAAAAGGATCGTGGCTAGTCATACCGAAAGGGCATCCGTCCGGCTATGGACATAGAGAAGGCAATACGATGCCTAGGTCTCCAGCCATTGCTGCCATAGCCTAAGGCAGGGTCCCGTCGCGAGGTGGTGCCACCGTAGACGTTGAGGTCTACATGGATGAGTTCAACGTACCGCGTGGCATCGCATGAGACCCAGCGCTACTATATCAGTGCGGTCCCAATATGACTTGACGTATCGACTGCGGTATGGATGGGGCGGGTAGGTCGCTTCGTGCGTGGTTTGTACGAATGTCCCAGTGGTGAATTTCTCAACCTAGCCCGAGCAACCGGCCGAATGTGTCGATTGAGGACAGTTACAGACCAACATGTGCCGACCGGGACCAAGAATCGGGGGTGTGGATGCGTGTCCAGATTCGCTAACGCGCTGAATTTGTTAGAGGTTGGATAGTTGCTGTATATAACGACCAGAAGTGCCGGAGGAATCATGCAGCATCAAGTGTTGCCGCGCTTCCTACGCACCAAATCCCATAAAGTCGTCGAGGAACGGCGTCTCGTCAACTTTCTGCGGTATCGTCCACTCTCTTTAGGCAACAAGCTGCAAAACCGCCCCGATAAACTGGACGGCTTGCCCTGCCTGCTCGAGACCTGCTCCCAAATCGTCATAATTCCGCTTCATGCCCTCCCGGCCTAGCATCCTCTTCTTCTGTTCTTCTTGTTCTTCACTTGGTGGTAGAACCGTAACAGGAGCGTCGCCACTCACTTCATGCTCCTCCCCGGCACAGACAAGGTTGAGTTTCCATTTCAGGCGATATTTGACGAAAATATTGTATGTCGAGAATGTAGGGTAGACTTGGCGTTTAAAGTAGACCGGTGGATGAAAGAGAGTGGATGAGGCAGAGCAGCCTAGAAAGATGGCGGCATGTTGACCCATGTCCAGAGCGTGTGGACAGCCAGTGGTGGCGACAGGATGAAGTGACCGCCAGCTTTTCCCGCCAAAGATGACATCGGTTTCTTCAGGAGCGGCCCAGGTGTTCACGGCTGGTGTCGATCGTGAGGTGGTCGATGCGGTACCACGTGAGCCATTGGATGAAGAGACTGGTCTCGATTGTATCTGCTGTAATGCCGGTTCCATGATCGGTACGTCGATAGGTTCGGGCGCTCCCATGAAATCGAAATCGAAAGTGTGGGCTTTCTCTGTGTCAGAATCCCACATCACGCCGGGACAACGGATACCAACTTCACCCTTGAGACTCAGTTCCATATTGACAACTTCAACCGGAGGAAGAGTGGATAGATTGCCATCCGCACAAACAGTTGTTTTACCCCCGTCCAAGTCCGGGATGAGATAGACCTTCAATGGGAGAGGCGTGGGATGCTCTAACTGGATGACCGTCGGATACTCGACTTTGACGACATATGCGTAGCGAGGCGTCTTGGATGGGCGAAAGATCATGGTTGATTTCTGACGGAATGTAAGAGGCGTCGTTGCATACTCAGGAAGTAACATTGGTGTTTTGATAACCTTGCAAAAGGTTCTCGTTTGCATTTTGAAGTCCTGGATCGGGACAGGCACCGACCTTTGTCGCACATACAGAGGATATGTCGCCGTCACGGCTCCGCATCCGGCATGCAAGACATATTCGATATACGCTTCGACAGTCTTTCCTGACATGGCGGACGCGGAGTTATAGTACATGATAGATGGCAGTGGATGCTGGGTCACCTCAATTTCTTTGTGACCCGCGCCGTAAGTGTGCAGGAACCGAAAGTTATGTCGAAATTCATCGCAGTCCTGCCTTTTTGCAAAGCCTGCTTGCGACGTTTCAGGGATTGTAATGGAAAAGGGCCAGGCATGGTGGCCGCCGTCATTGCAGGTGACAGTGCCCTTGTGAAGGACTTGTGTGTGCTCGAAAAATACGGCTCGTCCTCGTTGTATGGACTTGCCACCCTGTGTGGTTTGGGTATACTTGCACTTGGCACGGCCTAAGAGCTTCAAACGCACTGCTGAACATGGCAATTGACGCTCGGGAGGTTCCTCACAAGTCACGTATCCTGTGAGTGTGTCGCCTGGGAAATATGTCGGTTGAGGATCGTCAAGCTCCACTGCCAGCCGGGCAGAGAATTTCGGGGCTGTTCGCGGCATCGCAGTAAGTGATGAAACCAAAGAAATGGTTCGCCTAGTGCTTGCTGGCTTTTGGTGAAGATATGCCCGATTTTGGCGATACAGTTACTTATCGGCTGCATGAATACATCCAGGATTGAAGATACTTGGTTGTCAGCTGTTCAAATAAATCCACCATCGACATTGTTCATCATTGATTAAACGCCATGGTGGCTTGAAACTGGACATGCTTTGTTGTCTTCCCTTGAGCGTTTCATCGGTGTTGTACTTTTCAGCGCCAAATGGAACAACACAGCCATGGTCATGTCGGGGCAATACGGCCTGGGCAAAGGCCAGATATTCAGACAGGTGAGTTCGGCTGGTCTACCGGGGGAAATTGAGTGACAATGAGATCGGATGTGCGAACTGAAAACTAAACCAGAGAAGATGACAGACCTGCTTGGGAAGATTGCCTGCAATGCAACCAGTTCAACTGGAAAGGGGTATCAAGAAGTCGCCACCTAAATGCACCCATCGTGCGCACAGTATGTGGGTATGTGAGTATAATATATTTACAAGAATTGGAGATGTCCGGATTGTGTAAGCGCACTTATGCCGTGTCTTGAATTCCGATAGATGCTGCAACGTCACAGGATAGCATTGCAATTGTCCAAGTCAAACTGAAAGGACGCTGCAAAACAACCTACCGAACTTGGCCAGAGGAAGACCCATCTCTTTTAGTAATTCGTCCCTGAAAAAGTGCTGTCGACGGCTGCAGTAAATTATACCGATGCTCTGTAGTGCCAAACACCGGGAAACCTGGGATTAAAGGCCAAGGCATCGTTCTCAATCCAACTTCCCGGTATCCGGATCTGTCATTCCCAGGCTATCATTCCAGTACCCCCAGCCTTGTGAACAATTGAAACGACATTGGCTAATCTGAGGAATGTGCCAGGCGGGTGCTTGACCATCTGCTCGACATATTCCTTCAATCTTGATGTTCACGATCCTTGCACTTGTCCAAATTGTCCATCTTCTCCGTATGATCAAATAACTTGGTTCTCTGGGCCTCTCCAGCACCCCTGCCACTGCTAGCTCTGGAGGGAAAGTGGTGGAATGAAAGTCACTATATCAGAGTCGGTTGGGTTCAGAGGGATAAGCTTGCTGACACCAACTCTGATGCAACTCGTGGACGGTAGATCAGCAGGTGATCTTCGGACATTAGTGATGAGGGTAGATGGCGACCTGCCGGCGACACGGAGTCTCGTGTCAAGTGCAGGGCAATGGCCCTGTGAGTTCAATCCGTCAGCGGCACGCAAGGCCGACAGAGAGCTGTTGAAATGCAGATCGCATCGACCTTGAAGGCGCAGGTGACGTCCATTGTCAATGTCCGATAGACAACGGGAAAGGAGGCACGATGGGGTCGGCGAGCAGCAAGGAGCTTCAGAACGGACCCCGCATGGGAGTCGTCGGCTCTCATTTGCATCAACAGACCAAACAAAGCGGAGGGTCGCAATTAAGTAATCTTCCTAGATGAGCTGACTACCAGTTCCCTTTCTCGGGATGCGATTCAGATGGGCTCCGCGGGCGGCTTCTGCAGCCGAGCAGCTGCGTTCCTCAGACTGCGTTCCTGCAGACTCTTGGAATAAAGAAATCCCGCCATATGGTTGTGTAGATCGTCGTAAGTGGTGTAGCCGAAATAGCGGCAAATATGCAGCGCTCGAAGCGCGAAGAATCCCTCCTCGGGCTGACCCTCGGCCGACCAGCATCCAGTGAGCAGCGACCACAGGACAAATCTGGCTTGTAGCTCACAAAAAGGGTCGAGACGAGCATTAGGGTTCAGTGGAGTACATTCTTCCGTCCAACCTATGGCAGGACACCAAAATTTCAGGGCATACTGCATTGCCCCTTGGAGCCGCTGCACGTTGGTCTTGGCTGTTTGGAAGCCGATCAAGGTACAGGCGTGAGTCATCAGGATCAACAGAGACAGTCTGACACATTCGGTGCACTTGCACATCAGGTCCATGGCTCCAATGTTGCGGTCCGGGGCAATGGCAAGAAGCCCGCGAAGTACAGCTCTGGCTTTCCGGCACAACCATTCTGCATCGAAACATACCGCCAGGGGAGATAGCCACACCACCTTTGCTATCTCGATGCAGTCAACCAAGTCTGACACGATGCGACCAAGGTCCCACGGAAAAGCACCCATTTTTAACGCCTGGACAAACTGGGACCCCATCCGTATATCGAGCGTGGCGGCAAGATCGGCAATGGCGTCGGTGATGCCCATGGAACCGTTGGGACCACGGGCTACAATCAGTGACGTCGGCTTGGGATAGCCGAAATACTCTAGATTCAATGCCTCTCTCCGAAGGATTGCCATTCGTTCAGGAAGCATTGGACCGGGGTCAAATGTGAACGGTAAAACGGGACGTCTGGCAGTGGACAGAGAAAGTTGATTATCCACGTGAGCAGCCGTCTCGGAGATCCACCGGTCAAGAAGCTGGGTGGGATCCAGCAGATGCAACAGCTTCCCAACAATCTGGAGGTGTTTTCTAACATCGTCATACCGGCCATACTGCATTTCGTTGACGCACAGAAAGAGGATGTCCAGTATGGTTTGTTTATCGACGTCTCCTGAGCGGGAGCAACGAATCAATTCCTTCCGGAGGTAGTGCGAGGCTTTCGCTCGAATCGCTTGAGGATCGTCGGCAGTGGGTGACATATCGAAGACATGCTTCATCCGGGCAAGCATGGCTGCCATCAATGAATAAAGATGATGCTCCTTGTAGACGCTCCGCTGGACGACCGCGCCGATGGGAAATTGACTGATGGTGGACCGCACATGCTTGGGCAGAAAAGCCAATTTGTAGTTGTTGCCCGCGTAGGCGTAAATTTGCAGGGTATGCTGTAGGACGACGTGGATTCTAGGGGTAATCCGGATAGGAGTACTCCTGAAAGGATCAATGCAGTCATAGGAGGTGAAATTCGCCCTGTAGACGGGTGATGACAGCTCGAGCGCTCCTTCATCTTCAAACTGAGGTTCGTCATCGTCAAGATCTAGTTCGCTGCTGCCGGCTAGGACGTGCACCGACAGCGGCTTGCGAGGCCGTGTTGGTGCGATTGGAGGCAATTGCACAGATGCCGTGTCGATCCAGGGTGAAAAGATCTGACGGGCTGGCGTGGAATCCTGCGAAGGTGATCCCGCTGCCAGCTCCTCGTTGGGCGATGACACCGGAGAGGATTCATCACTGCTGGAACTGGGGTTCTCCGTCAGCTTGGGCGAAGGATGACTTGGCCGCAACCATTTCTCCGATGTCCTAGAACAAGGAAAGGAGGACGTTTAGAAAAACTTACCCTTGGCCGGTCTCTTTCCGGTGCCACCCATCCAGAGCGATGCGGCGGGCCGAAGAACAATTGGAGCGAGCAGAGGTGATTTTTTGGGCTTCGACCTTGCGGCTTCGGAAATGTTGGGCGTGGCGATTTATCTGTTTGGCGACCGCGCCATCGCTTTTCGAGAGAGACTTGGACTTGGGATTCTTGTTGACGAAAAGAAAAACCTGGCCCTCTGTGCGATCCGATGCGCGCGGCTTCTTCATTATTGATGCGATAATTGAAGGACGCTCATGCTAGGCCAAGAGGTGATGTGGCGGGAAACAACACCGTAGCAAGGCGGGTCATGCAAGACTCGCACGCCCTCCAAATAAATCCCCCAGCCGACTGAAAAAGGACGTAATGCAGAATTCCTCTCAATCGATGGACATATGACGGGGGGCCGACAATGAAGTCTGATTGACGATGGTGACTTATATCGCTTCCAAAAACTGGGAGTTCAGAGGAAAGAGTTGGTATCGGGAAATTCTGGGGTCGCAAAAAAAGAGTGCCCCAGTTTGCGGGCCAAGAATGAATCGGAAGGGAGGATGGAAGGAAGGAAGGGGGGAGGGAGGAACAAGAGGAGGTAGAGGGGCGTTCGGTCAATCAGTTCAGTCAGTTGGTGAAAAGGCAAGGATGATCATTCAAAAGAGCAAGGGGGGGGAAAAGGATAAAGGATGGGGACGGGACAGAAAAAATCAACCTAGGCATGAAAGAAGTAGTAGCCGGCGAGCGGGAACAAGCAGCGGCTAGCAGCGAGCAGTACCCAGTACCAACAGCAGCAGAAGCAGCAGTATTGAGTTAAGCAGTGGCACAGGCACCCAACAGGCAAGGAAGGGAGACGGACCAAGAAGACACAGCGATGGAGGATGATGATGCTGATGATGGGGTTCACTGGGTCATGCTCATGCATCGCCATCGGCGCCATCACGTCAGTTTCGCCTTTTCGCTCAGGTTGTTCCGGGGAGGGGAAAGAACAAGGTGCTAGGCTTGCTAGGTGGATTGCCACTCTGGCCCGGGCTTGCACCACCTAGAGTTAGCACCCCTAGGTTGGATGGGCTGGCTCCTATCTCCCCAGCTTAGCCAGAGACTAGGTATGGGAAAAGTTGCCCAAGCTCAAGCTGCCCCCAAGGCTTGTTGAGAGGGCATAGGTAATCCGGAAGACGCCTACTTAGGGCCCTGGCATATCAAGTACTTGTAGTCTGGCACCCACTGACCTTTAACTGGCTCCCCGGCTCAGTTATTTGTTTGGCGAGGGTTTGGCCATGGTTTTAGCTAGCCTCCATGCGGAAACTGTATAAGCGAGCGACCCTCAGAAAACACCTCCCAACCCCCCGTACCTTGCCTATTACCTACCTGGTTATCTCTGGCATTTTGTCTCCCACACACCCCCTCCCTGGCGCACTTTGTTGACCCATAAAAATACCTAAGTACCAGTATACACTGCCGAGAAATGCATGCTGATGACCAATCACACAGCGATAATGCCCGTGAAAAGTGGAAAAGTGAGAAGCATCACGGCAAGACGGCTCCTAGAGGTGAGAACGCCCTGGTTAGGTCATGTCAGACGGCAATATGAGAGCAATTGAGAGTAATGAGCTCCAGGGGCCTTTTTGCTAATATGTACTTACTCGGTCAGTCGGTGCAATTTAGACGCAGAATCTCTTTTACCTTGGGCCACTCTTGGTCCCGCGAAACCTGACATACCTCATCCTTTCGTGCTGACTACAGGTGCTGTCCACCACGCGACTGCCTATTGATCCTGCACTTAACTTTCGGCCATGGACCTCGTATTAGTCGTCTCTCCCCTCGACACTGACTAACCCTCCAAGTTGTCACGTTTTGGTTGGCTATCGCACGAGAACTCACCGCTTTCAGTGGCCCAATACGCCCCCTAGATTGCTCGAGAGTTCCCGATCGGTGAGCTCTATAATCGATTACCACGACCTTGCTAGCCTCACCTGGCAAGTATACAGGACTACAGCAGGCAATAACATCAAGCACCGAGAGAGCCAGAGAGTTAGAGGGCCTGTTCCCCTGTTTGCACCCCCAAAGTTTCAGAGGGACCGACGAACACCCATCTTTGGGCTCCATTGCTCCTCCCTCTTCGTTTGTCATCACCGACCACCCAATCTCGGGCGATAAAGCCGGAGGACTTGTCTTGCACTGGATGAGATATTGAGCTCATTGGATGATGGCAGCTGTGCACAGCCGTCAGAGGACCAGCTGTCGGCCGACAATGTGGAGCGACCCGTGCGTTACCCACTGGCAGCGCATTCAAAACAGAGCCTGCCCGATATGGCCTCAAATAGCGAAGATCGTCTTGGTTGGATCTCGCCTGATGAGCATCGGCATCGCTGATAACTGGTGTTCGGCATTTAGGTTCTCCGAAAACTTGAAGTCTTCCGCGGGGGGTGTTGTGCCAGCAGGGACGAGTACAAAGCCTTACCGATGCTTTTTCTCGTGGACCGGAAACTCTTAGTAGCATGGAGTATGGAGACTCCAACGCCATGAAACTAAGACGTCCAGAGCCAGCACATCCTAATTACCGGTCATCCTCAAGAGGCTTATCAATGTCAGCCTTGTAGTGCATGACCTTGCTGCGAGCCACACACGACACACTGTGGAGCGCTTGTTTGCCGATTGCAACATATCTAAACTGTAAAGTCATTGTTGTTGCTATTCGGGCGAGATCATTATGACGCCCTGCTTTGCTTTCCTAGAGGCACATCCATGGACCTTGCCCAAACTACCCTGTAGCAGCCAGAAGCAAGTCGGCAGCATGATCCGCCTTCCAGTCGGACCAAAATTACATGGATGATGCTGTAGCGCGTGTTCAGGGCGGCGAATGCGATGTGCAAGGGGACCAGTAGGCACCCAGGAGGCAGTCTCCTCAGATGTCATTTGTGGCATCAGTGGATGAAGAGGGCTCGACAGTGCCTACTTAGCGACAGTCCATGTCAGGAACGAACTAAGCGAATAAGCGCCCATGTCGACCACCCGCTCCAGGCGTACTATGTTCCCCTTTTGTCGTGGATCAAATGGCATTGGTGGCATGATTGTCATGCGTGACAAACTGTCCCAGTGCAGGGTCTGCTGAGACTTCCACAGCTAGTAATGTCCCTTGAGGGGGTGTTGAGAGCGGTTTGTTTAAACCTTGGAGCCGCCTGATGAGCCCAGGATGTGCCCAGAACGACCGGCGAATCAAGCATGTCGTGTCATGACTTGGACCGACGCGAACAGCTGCCATGCAGGTGCTTAACCAAACAAGGTATTCGGTGGCCTCAACCCGGATGGACTTTTGGCCGCCCCAACTGTGGAGTAAGTAGCAATCGGAATTCCTTCAGAGGATTCCTTTTAGAGGATTCCCTTTTGATTTTCTGATGATCCAGTCGTTCTATTACCCATCACTGACGAGCTTCCGTTTCGTGATCCTTGCTCAAAGATGATCAATTGGATCCATAGTCGGATCTTCGGCTAGGGCCCTAGTGAAACAAAGGGGGCTGCGTGAAGTCGGAGTCTACCGGATCGCCTCTATTGTCTTGTACAGTCGCAGTGGTCATGATTCATGTTGACTCGCACCCAGTTGCAGATCTAGCCCTGGTAGCCCTATGTAGGGCTTCCTCAAACACAGCCAGGATGATCTTTATGGAGCTCTGGATATTTGAACGCGCAAGCACCATTTGCCACATAGAGCAGAATGGGCCATTATGTTACTGTGCTTAATAAAGACGGTGTTGCATGTGGACCTGGATAAACGGTGAATTTATGTGTCAGCAATAGAAAGAAAATGGTGCTGCTGGTGGACGAAGACAATCCACGCCTTGCAGGAAGCCCGATACCATGGGCCGACCTCCGATGGTCGGGCCGGTACCGAGTGCACTCGCACATTCTTAAAAGAAATTAATTTCGATATACTGTGATCCATAAGGCTGTAACCCTATTCGATGCTCTGCGCAGGGTCGACGCCATAGTCCTGGGTAAGTAATGGGTTTGCCTTTGGTAAGAAGTATGCTTCGACAGTCATCTGTTCGTGCAGGGGACTAATCAGCACGCATCAGTTTCAGCTTCTCTGTTGCCTTCGTATATGCAAGCGACCGAGACTCCATGCAGACCACGACACGGCCGAATCATTGTTGCGCATCTTTCTTCCAAAAGCTTGATCGCCGGCAAAGCCGTGGTGTTTGTAAGCCCTTCAAGCGCAGGTATTTGAGCGCGCCCATTAACGCCGACTCTGGGCTTTGTTGTCCTATGTAGTCGTTCATATACTCCGGTACTCGGATACCTTTTTCAGGGACCTACAGGCCCACCTCAGACCAACCGACGCACAAGGTTTTAAGCTGGCATATACCAAATCTCGCTCCGGGACACAATAGATCCTCTGAGCTCGCCGAACACCAGTGATTTACCTTTATCAACGCGTATTGGAGCATTGAATTTTCGAGCCTGCGCGAGGCAATCTTCACATGGCTGTCAACCATAGGTACCCATATGCATCGGGGGCTTCAAATACTCGATGCAGATCGCCCAAGCTGCAACCGCACTGCGGGACACAGAGACTCGACGATCTTTCGAGTGTGACGATCACACCAATTTAAGGAAGATTTTGCGAGAGAAGTGCCTACTCCACCACTCCTGGGTGTGGTTTGAGGAGTGAAGATGCCTGAGACCTGACTCAATCAAGCGGGATGTCGGCATTTATAACCGAGTCTACCACTCTCCGACTGCCTTGATACAGTAATGCACTGGATTTCAGGACCTTTGCAGTTCAACGGCCACAGCGGCACGAGCCAAATCAACCGTCGCATTCAGTCGCCCTAAGCCCGCAGGGCCAGGAAGCTTCCAATATCCTACTGAGGACCACTTGTGCTCCATCGATAATTTGCTTCCGTTGCGGCAAACCCCAAATGTGCCACCACTCATGTTGTGCATCTAAAATCGCACGGATGCTGCAGGACTTCGAATTATTCTTGGAGTTGGCCCCAAGCAGATACAAGGGCGGTCAATGCTTGAGGCTGAGCCGCAAATTGTCTGCCTCGCCTACATGATCCTGGCAAATCTTCAAGCGTGAGTTCCACAGTGGCAGACAGGGAAGGTCGGGTTTGTCGTATGGTCGGCTCACGCCATGCTTTTTGGGCGGAACTTTTGGGCAGACTGCTGCAACTGGACCCGTATCTCTGTGAGACAAACATCCGATATTTCTGTTTCTATAGGGTTCGGCAGTGGGGGTCGCGTCGTAAAGAAAGGACGAACCCTGGACTTGAAGCTGGCGTTTTCGACTCTCTGCTAACATGTGAATGGAAAAATCGGTAGTTCGTTGACAGCCATACACCTTTCAGCTCAACACTCAGCAGCACTAACTTCTCCATCGACCCGTCAGGTTACTGGGTACATCTCGCTCTGTCGCCCTCCTGGTCTCGGAATTGGCGGCCGAAAAGTACAACATGTCGCTATCTGGAACCTCGGACTATCCAAGGGAATGATTTCAACAACGCGAAGAGACTGTGCGTTATGAGGAGTGGGCTAGGATACCTGACGGCAACTTTAATAGGCTGCAATGCGGTCATATTGGTGTTGAAGATAGTGACCTATCATGTGTCCAAAAAGGTCCGAAGAGGGAGCTCGACGAAACATCATATGCTTGATGCGTCCGTCGCCGACTACACAACAGTGTCTCCGTCAGTCACGATTGTCATAGACCGAGGTGGACGAGAAAAAGGCAAAGGACATATTGTAAGAACGCCGTAGAATAGTTAATCCACCCAAAGACCCGACGTTTCCGCGCACAAACCACAATCATTGAAGCAGAAAATAGGAAGCTATCTTGATGATCCATGGACGGAATCACCGACACCGATCAAGAGGTACTAGACACTGATCCTGTTGAAAGGAGCTTGAAGTCGGCCCCGAGTGTCGTTGATGCCACGTGATATATTCTATATTCTGCCCAGGTGGGCGCGATCTCAGGCTGAGAACGAGTGACGCAAGCACCAGATGAACGTGGCGGAAGGCAGGACAGGGAATTGACCTTGGATTCAAGCCTTTATTTGATCCCCCTTGGTGCTTGTCTATTGGTAGCGGAGAGGTAGGAAGCACCTGGGTGATTCAGAAGACGGAATCGCATACTGAATCCTCCATTCTCATTTGCGAAAGTTAGACAGACTCGCAGAAACCTCAAACTTTCAAGGACAGCAAGGAGGAAAGGATATTTGAATCTGTTTCGGGATCAAGCATGGATACAATCAATAGAGGGCCTTCAAAACCTTCCCGCTTGTCGCAAGTAGTTCTTCTCGTGTCTCATTCCTGCTTGCCGTCCACCGTTGAGTCACACTTCCATGGCTCCCATCTTTCTCTGTTGTGTAGTCTCTCTTCTGCAAGCATGAAAGAAGTGTCCAAACGCCAGGGTGCAGCTTAGATGATGTCCATCCATGAAATCAATACACATCGTGACTCCCGGTAGTGGTATGCCGTACGTGACTTTGTTGCGTCGGTCTCAAGGGCTGGGCTTTTACAAGTCGCCGAAGGTATTTTCGCCAGAGTAACTGGGTATTTGTCAGCCATTCCACCATGAGACACGCTGGGTGAGCAGTTGGTACATACGTGATGTAAAGGAAGCCATCCTCGTCCTTGTGCTCGTCATAGATGCTGCTCATGAGGGCATGGGTGGGTGGAAGGACCTCGTCGACGAAGATGAAGATGGCTTTCTCTGGGCTCAGCTTGATGCGCTTGCGAATAACATAGACGAATTGGCCGACGGTCAGATCTGCGGGGACGAGGTACTTCTTCTTGTCGATGGTAGCGATATCAGATTTCTCGACCTTTTCGCAGATAACCTGCAGACAATATGGTCAGTCAAAGGGCCCTCTCAACGAGAACGGAAGGACGAGACTGCACGTACCGGGATGCGATCGGCGTACTTCTGACGAATGCGTTCAGCTTCTGCCTTGCGCTTCTCGAAAGGATGCTCGTCCTTGAACTTGGAACGCATGGTGGTGAATTTGAGGTGGTTCTCGGGTTCTGCTGGTGGGTATAGATGGAGTCTGAGGGTGTGTCGCAGTCTCAGAGAATATGGTCGAGTGTTGATGGTTGAAGGGTACGAGGTAGATGAAGGGAGGATGCCTGGTCGGTGAGTGAGTGAGTGAGTGAGTGAGTGAGTGGGTGGGTAGTGAGGGTTGCGGGCGAGGTTGTTCAAAGGTGCCAGGCGTGGCAGGCAGCACTGGAGTGGGCGGTGATGGCGGTGATAGGCAGGCCAGGGCCCCGTGCTGTGCAGTCGCGAGGTAGTGGGCAGTGCGTAGTGGGCAGTGGGCAGCCGGACAGCGAGTCACCCACAGAACCTAGAACGCAGAAAGTGCCAGGCCACACAGCGCGCGAATGGATGCCCCGCGTTATCAGTGCCTGCCCGCTGCGTCAAGGTGACTTATCATCCCTGATCACGGGATGATGCTCAGCCTGATTATGACTGTCCACCAGGCTTTCAAGTGTTTGGCCACGAGGCTAGATCTTAAATAAGATGGGCGAGTGAGTCACGTCATACTATCATGCTAACAACGGCACAAGGGGACTCGAGGACTCGCAGAAGGACGGTCACAGGCCGCATTGGGTCCTCTACTTCGACTTCATTGTGGCCGCTTTGTTTGACTCCATTGCCGCAGCCTGACTGCACTCATCAATAGCTAGATACCATTGCTTGCGGAATTGGGGGGGGGGGGGGGGCATCATTCTAATCGTCAGATTTGCGCTTCCTTTGCACCTGTACTCGGTCCCTAACCTCAAAGGCTTTCCACTTCAAGATCAGTGGATTCTTAGATCGGAAAAGATCCATTACCTGACCAACATCGCCACGCTGCTTCCGTCAGTCGACGATGGCTGGGTTTGGTGGTAAGGAAATAGCCTTGTCATGTGACAGTGGGGAACCTGCACCGCGTTTCTGCAGCTTCCTCTCGCGGAAAAAAGACGAATAGCCGTAATGCTCACCTGCGATGACCTGACGACCGGTAGGAGGAATATTTGATTCTTCCTGTGGAGCTGTGGCGACGTACATTCAATGGCTTTACCAGAACTACAATAAACTGCATCATCTCAATTTGTCCAACTTGCCTTCTCCTGCATTCATGCTTTGTCTGGGCACAGCCGTACTATATTGACCATGGGCGTTCCTAGGTCTGCGTGGAGCTCTGTTCGAGCTTCTCACAGTTCAGTCTTCAGAGCAGGATCCAACCTGCATATCCGCCCTTCTCGTCTACGCCCGTGCTATTCTACCGGACCTCTACCTACTGCCCAAAGCCCACTGTTGGGAAATCACCGCAGGCAGAGATGGCTGTACCTACCGTTTTCCCTCGGAACCCTCTTCGTCGGCACATTGACCTACAGCATGGCCCAGGGGACACCCATCGCGAATGACTCGCCACCCATTCAACCCGTTAATTTGGCCGAGGTAGATGAGGTGACCAAGAGCAAGCAAAAAATCACACGCAACTCACCCATGCGACTGCGCATGGAGGCTTTGATCAAGGAACACCAAAATCGGATAGTCTTTGCACTGGAGAATGTGGATGGGAAGAAGTTCAGGCGGGACGAGTGGACGAGACCAGCCGGTGGAAGTGGCATCTCATGCGTTCTGCAGGATGGCAATGTCTTCGAGAAAGCTGGTGTCAACATCAGCGTCGTCTATGGAGAGCTATCACGTCCAGCCATTGAGAAGATGCGGTCAGACCATAAGTCCTTTGTTGCTTCGGATGTCGACAAATTAAACTTCTTTGCAGCAGGCATCTCGCTTGTACTGCACCCTCATAACCCCATGGCTCCGACGGTCCACATGAACTACCGATACTTTGAAACATCTGATCCCAGAGACCCGGTCAATGCAACGGGCACGTCTCAACAAAACTGGTGGTTTGGCGGAGGCACAGACCTGACACCTTGTTACCTATTTGAAGAAGACGCCCAATACTTCCACAAGACCCTCAAGGCCGCCTGCGACAAGCACGACAGAGACTACTATCCCAGGTTCAAGAAGTGGTGCGACTCTTATTTCAAGATCCCACATCGAAACGAAGCGCGGGGCATTGGCGGCATATTCTTCGATGACCTCGAAGCGGCTTCACGACCGAACTCTCGCAATCCGCAGGAGGAAATCTTCCAATTCGTCGCCAGCGGTCTCGAGTCATTCTTACCTTCATACCTACCTATAATCAAGAAGAGAAAGGACATGCCGTACTCGCCCCAACAAAAAGAGTGGCAACAGATCCGACGAGGAAGATATGTCGAATTCAATCTCATCAATGATAGGGGGACCAGCTTCGGGCTGCGAACCCCAGGTGCTCGAGTCGAAAGCATTCTGATGAGTTTGCCATTAACGGCCCGTTGGGAATATATGCATCCCGTTGTGAGTCCAATCCAAACCGGCACTCATACCAAGCTCTGTTGCGATGCCTTTTCGTTCTTGATGTGATGGACGCTGACAAGCAGAATAGTGTGGTACTGGCATCCCTGAAAATCGAGATGACGACGATGATTCCCAGTATGAGAAAGAAAAGGAGCTAATGGAAGTCCTCAAGCACCCCAGAGAGTGGGTCTAAATGACCTGCTTTCCATGAGGTCTTGAAAATGAAGTCAATGCTCAGCCATCAACTGAGGTCAGGCATGCAGTCGGAGCTCATGACTTAATAGAGGTTGAGTGGCCGGCTATGTCTACCAAACCCGATCAATGACAGCCTTTTCCACAACGACCTCAACGACCATGACTACCGTGGGATGATGCATTCCGTTCAACTCCCATGCACAAGGGGCACATTACACAGGAACCTCGCTGCTTTGACCAAAATAAAATGGACTAGGCAGGAGACTATACTTTCAATTGGCATTTCATGGGCTAGGTCGGACTGGGACTTTGCCTGCGCACCCAGGCTTCGAAAGCTTTTGATTCCCCAGTCTTCTTGCGGATTGAGAAAGCTTGAGGAGAACGGAGAGAGTGTCGTCTCCCACGCCCAGTGAGTGTCCATCCATAAAAATTTTTGCGTCTGCTGGCACGTTCCTGTGTCAGCAGCTCGTTTGTCTAGCCAAGACCATTATGGTCCTCCAAAATAGAGTTGCCACTTCCACTCTGCAAATACCTGCTTCCTTTTGGCGCAACCGAAACATACCTGACGGAGCCTTGCTTATTGCTACCCTGGCGGTGCCCGTGCGGAGGAAATGTCCTGCAGCATCTTATTGGCAACCCCAGCCATTGGCGCTGACCGGCCTAGAGACCTGCCGCTGCAGAAGCCCAGAACACTTATTACAGGTTTCAGCTCGCAACGGAAGCCGAAAAATCCTTCTCAGCCTCCAAATCTCGGGGTCCAAAGGGTCTAGGATTCGACAACTCTGATATCCCCTACCTAGATCAACCACGCCGACCGCGCAAGCAGGCCTCTTGATTCGAACAGACTCTTCCTACCGACATAACGGTCAATAGCTGTATACCTCGTCTGTGTCATTGCAATAATACCTCGTCAAACACAAGCCGCTTGGACGCAACTGGCCGAGTCAAAACAAAGAGCAATGAGAACTATTTCTGGTAATGCTCTGGACTGGAAATCGCCTATTTTCCCGCTGTATTAAGCTTTTCAGCCCGGATTATCTTGCCAGGCCAAACAGTTTCATCCAGCCCAGGGCAGGCCCAGGGTTCCCCAGTCACGGCCAGTTCCCCCACCCTGACACTCACCCATCTCTTGGAGAGTAGAACAAGCTCGTATGACTGACCAACTTACCGGCCTCTCATTGCGATACAGCTGCTGGGGAGGGCCATTTCTTCAGGCATCCCATGATACCTGACCGCCTCGTTCAAGCTCCCACGCACCTTCTGGCTAACACCATGGCAATGACCTGCGCTGTCGCTTATCTCAATAAGCCTCTTACTGAACTAATATACTCAAGCGGCCAACTCGAAGGGCGAAAAGCAGCACGGAATCCCCGTCGACCCGGGGTGTCCTGTTCTACCGCAATTCAAGTCCAAACCCAGGTTGGGCATCCCTCTCTGATTGGGAGCAAGAGACCATGACCTTTGGTGACTCCCCAAAGGCGTGATGATCGCCTAAGCACCTCATGCTCATAGCGCCCAGGCTGTTGCGGGCTTGCATGCCTATTGCAGCCCGATCATATCGTCCTGAAATGGCTAGTCCAACGTGTTTAGTTGATCTTACTGCTTCACGGAAGTCGCAAATGGAGGCCGAACTCTGGGCCGCCACATGCTGGTCAGCTCTGTCCATGTCCGCCAATATAAATACAATCCATCAGTCTCGGCTGTTGTACAGATCTTCTCCTCTTGGTTACACACTTCTTCGACCTCCATCTGGCCTCGTTCCTGTCGATGATGAGGACAAGTCTGTTCCCCGCCCTTCTGGGCGCTGTGTTTGTTGAAAGTGTCTTGGCTGGCCAACCAGGACCTCTTGGAAAATGGATGGGAGTAAGCGGAAAAGAATGCATATGTGAAACTGTGTCACTAACACCTCCAGGGTGGTGATGATTGTCCATGGGGAAGTAGAACTGCTTCTGGATCCCATCCCCAGAATGATATGCCAGATACTGGTTCGCACGGTCTCCTCCCAGGTGGTGACTAGACAAGGCTGAACTTGATTCTAGGCGTCACACAATACTATGACTTCACTGTCGCCCGGGGAACATACGCTCCTGATGGAGTGCAACAAGCCATGATCGTTGTCAATGGCCAGTATCCAGGTCCCTTGATTGAGGCAAATTGGGGTGACTGGTACGTGAATGCCCGAGGCTGTGAGGAGGCTTCTTGCTGAATTGTACAGGATCGAAGTTAATGTTCACAATCAAATCTATGGCCCTGAAGAACCAACCTCGATACACTGGCATGGCCTGAACCAGCCTGGAACTCCGTACTACGACGGAGTTGTCACCGTTGCCCAATGCCCGATCGTCCCCGGTGGAAATTTGACCTACAGATTCCGTGCGGACGAGTATGGCACTTCCTGGTGGCACGCCCATTACTCTGCCCAATACTCTTCAGGAGTCGTTGGACCGATCGTTGTTCACGGTCCTAACGACGCTAGCTACGACGTTGATCTCTATCCTATCCTTGTTACGGATTGGTTCCACGATAGCTATGAGGATATTGTCAGCTTGGTCATGTCTCCCAGCGCCTCGGGCCTACCATTCCGACCTTTCTCAGACTCCAACCTCGTTGCGGGTGTCGGCCAATATCCATGCGCAAATATCACGAACGGTGCTCCTTGCTCTGTTGTCCCATACGCATCATGGGAATTCGAGCCCGGCAAGACCTACCGTATGCGGTTTGTCAATACAGGCGCCTCAGCATTCGAGACCATTTCGATCGATGGGCACCAGTTAACGGTCATTGCCAATGACTTCGTCCCTGTTCAGCCTTATCAGACCGAATTCGTCACTATCGGTGTTGGTCAACGAGTCGAAGTCCTTGTCACTGCCAATCAGGCGCCGGGCAGCTACTGGCTCCGCGCTTTTAACAGCCCCTGTGGCGACACGAACGGACCATATGGTCAGGGAATCATCTACTACACAGGGTCGGATCCGAGCACGCCTCCCACCAGCACTGGCGCTCAACCACCCATCAACTCGAATTGCCAGAACGACCCTCTGGCGACTACGGTCCCCCAGTACGTAATGCCCGCGGCCGAACCGGATACCACTATCACCATCACCATTGCCGGCGCTCCTGATGCCTCAGGGGTATTCCACTGGACGATGAACGGCGTCAGCTACGATGGAGACCTCTCCAACAGCTTGCTCTTGGAAGCGATTTCCGGTCAGACCGAATTTGCACCACAGTACAATGTGTACAACACAGGCACCAACGGAACAGTTCGAATCATCATCATCAATACTACCCCTGCCCCCCATCCCATGCACATCCACGGCCACGACTTCCAGGTCCTCGCCGAGGGTTTCGGCACCTGGGATGGCACGGTCACCAATCCGACAAACCCGCAACGTCGTGATGTCCACATGCTCTGGGCCCAAGCGACACCGGACAATCCGTCATACATTGTGGTCCAATACACACAGGACAATGCAGGCGTGTGGCCCGTGCACTGCCACATCGCCTGGCATCTTTCGGCGGGCATGGTGATCATGCTCCTAGAACATCCCGAACAGCTCACTTCAATCCAAGTGCCCGAGAGCGTGACGCAGACCTGCCCCGCGTACACGACGTGGTACGCGGCCAACCCTGGCGTTGTGGTGGACGACTCGCTGCGCAAGCGCACGCTGGGCGAGAAAATGGTCGAGTACATGAAGGGAGGCGACAAGGAACACGTCCAGCACCTGGACAAGCACCGCAACAAGAGAGGCGTCAGGGGATATAGGGGCTACGGCCACAATGCCACGGCCGAGGAATTCCCCGCGCACGGCAAGTTCAAAGGCAATGCCACCGCGCACGGTCACGGTGCTGCACACGGCACTGAAGATGCTAGTTACTCGACCATGCATTCGAAGCACAGCAGTAGCACCAGCAGCCACGGCGGCAAGGTATCGCCCACCCCGTCCTGGTCCACCAGGCCGCAGACGGGCACGGTGGGCAAGAACCTGGCCCATGAGTCCAAGAGCACTGGCAGGCCGGGAAGGAAGAGAGACGAGGTGTAAGTGAACCGGGAGACTGGACAGGGCCAGGGCGGGATGGGAAGGAATTCTTGACATGCATCGTCCACCTTCTTCATTTATCATCTTCCCTCTCAGTTGAACAATTTCTTTACTTCTTCGTCCAGGAAAATCGGAATGTGTCACTGTGTTTCCCGCACTGGCAGACAGGATATGACAGGATATGGTACGCAGCATTTACACTACATACGCTACACTACGCTACACTAGGATATGATTTCAATCTTGACTTGATTTGACTTGATATGATTCTACCCATGCTGCGCTATGCTATATATGCTACATCCTAGGATTGGATAAGATGGGACGCCATGGAGTAGGACATGAAACCTCTAATCCGGTTCCTATTGTTTCTTTCATTTTTATTTTATTTTAAAAGCTTTTTGGTTTAGGGGAGTTTTTTTCGGTGGAGGGAAGAAGAAAGGGTAATTCAAGTATATGTTTTGGTGACTATTGTTGAATAGAGACGTATCACTCTGACAAAAACTATCCTCTTCTTCCCTTATGTTCTTGATGCTTGTTCATTCTGGCTAACTTGTCGTAGCACTTTAATAGTGAGCAAACTCCATTCAGACCCCTTTTCCCGTGTTGATCTCAATTTGGTTCTCCGATCCCCTTTTAATGACCGTTAGCAGTGCTGCTTTCATCTTTCACTCACATTACCAGTTGCAGCGGCACCGCCAGTACCTCCTCCACCTCCGCCTCCTCGACCATGGCCTTCACTACCTCTCGCATCAAAGTACCTCGACCTTAGAGCCTGCCCAATCCCGCTCGTGACCCTCCCCCCAAACCCTCCAAAATGCGTCGTCATAGTGGTATTCCCCATTCCACTCAACAATGCTTCTTCCAGTGCCGACTGCGTCACACTTGTGTCATCGAGGTCGGAGAAGGACGAACCCATAGAAGGCGACGTGTCAGACCCCGGACCTGTGCCATGGCGGCGAGGGGATGCGGTTGCTGATGCCGATTGGGAGTGGCTATGCAGGAGGGCACGGTGAGGGGGAGACAGTGGCGTGCCGAGCCTGGGAATGACCGGCGGCTGTGTCGCCAGGTGGACCTGAGTGGAGTTTTGACCATCGATTCGAGGTGTGGGTCGGGCTAAGGTTGTGTTTGCAGCAGTGGACCGGGTAGGGGAAGAGAGGGATGAGGTCGGGGATGTCAGATTTGACGGATTTCGTTGCGTTTGAAGGGGGGTAGGTGGCTCGATGGTTGGAGACGAGGCTATGCGTTCAGATGTCGTGCGTCGGTTGATGCCGGGTCTCTGTGTTTGTAAGGCGCCTCGCAGCGTTGCGCTGGGATCCTGTTGGGAAGAAGACGATGGCCGAGCTTTGCCTTCGGAAGCGGGATTGGCAAAGGGAAGGAAAGAGGGCTCGTCATCATCGTCGTCATCCTCTTCTTGTGGAAGTGGGCTTTGGACAAGACTTTTGTCATCCGGATTGGTGGCGGTTCCTTTCTGGGATTGGAGCTCCTTTCGATAGGATAGAACTCGGCGGTGCATGGACGACGGGTTTGGTCGACGAGCCATAATACGGGATTGAGTCATATCATCTTCCGAGTCGGATGATTGAGGCTGGTTACTCCGCGTCTGTCCTGGTGATCTTGCCAATGGATGTTGAATACTGCCCCTTCTGGACTGCGGTGCCTCTGCGTCCTTGGAAGACTGCCTTGATAATGGCCTCGACGATCCAGAAGCCACTCTGGACTGTGGACCACCCGCAGCCCCAACAGCCCCCGGGGGGTTCCGAAATGGTAGAGAAGTCCTGCTTTTAGCAGGAGTTCCCGGCGTACTGTCTCCTCCCCCCGCAACAGGACTTCCAAGGTGCTGCGTGGACAAGCGTGAAGGGACACGTGACCCACCACTTCCAGCTCTCTTCATCGTCTGGCCGCCCACCATGCTGGCTGAAGCTGATCCTGGAGCGGGGGATGGCGTGGCGGATTGTCTGTTTCCTACCCGGCGCATCTGGGCTCGAACATGGGACAGCTGTCGCTCATAGAGCCATGCAGCTTGCTGGAGGAGGAAGGTCTGGGTCACTTCGAATTTCTCTGATAGAGCCTTCCAGTCGATTTCATTGTTCTTAGATTGGCGGGACATGACATCCCATAGTGCTCGCTCTTTGGCAGCAGACCAGGCTACAGGGGGAGGATCAACAAAGTCACCCCGGTTGAAGGGCAGACGGATGAAGACCGTGAAGTGGTTCTCGATTTCGGCCATGGTAGTATTGTCATTTGCGTCGGGATGGTGGGTTCCGGAGTCAGAGACCTGAGAATATTGGACAGATTAGCACCCTCCGGATATCGAGAAGAGGTTGGCCATGATGGAGAATGATGATGTCCTGAGATGGAAATGACGAGAAGAGAACAGGCAGGATGATGAGGCTCGGTGTTGGTGTTGGGACGTGGCTGAAAGTGGCACCGTGGCGCAGTTTGAGTCCACCAGCCTGCGATTCCTGGTCTGGGCATCCGCGGACCGGAAATACAATTGCCCGCCTCGCCGCATATCCACCTCAACCCTCATGCTTCTCTTCTTCCTCCTCCTTCTTATGCTTCAATATATTATCCAGTCGTATCTCAGCCTACCTGCTCCTGATGTCTCCTCTTTCTCAGGCAAGAGGCTTCAGTGACAGTCTCCTCAGAGCTCGAGCTGTCTTTCCACCCAGTCTGAAGGTCGTCCTCGTAGTTGTGGGCATGACCCCAAACCCAGCATCCGGCACAGTAACCTGCGCCATCCCGATTCGTGAGAACATCTTGTCGATGGGCCATGGCTGAACAGTATCTCCTGGCTGTTCTTTGTGAAGATTTGTGGTCAAAATTCTGTCTATTCCTGCGACATGAGGGTTCCAGTCGGTATGCTTCGTAAAGACAAACGAGCTCGGGAGCTGACATACCTATCGCCATGGATCTGCGTATCCTTTCTCAATGACACCCTGAAACATATTTCTGGCGATTTTCGCGGAGGCCGAAGAAGAAAGGATTGAGAGAGGCTCCGCCGACCAAAGAGATTACCCTATTGACGTTGTGAACCTCTGAACAGGTCGACCACTAAGCGATGATGTCGCCGACCCAGCATCGCTTAGTCGTCGGCCTATTTTGCCGACCTCTCGGCGACAAGATGCAACACAACGCACGGCGGAGTTTTCGAAATGTCTGCGACGTTATAAAGACTTCTTCTCACACTTCAACACGCTTCTTATTGTATCTTCAGATGCACAAACCTTCTTCTGATACTGTGGAAACGATCCGCTGGACGGCTACCAAAGCCGGATTCATCCTCTCTTTCAGGCAGTCATCTACTGTGCGCAGTTGGATTTTCACAAGATGCCTCAAGATATGTCGTCTGAATACAAGGTAGCTCGCCTTCCTTGCTTCTCTAAGACGTCCTCTTCAGAACCCCGATTCTACCGCACCTTTTCACTAGCACCCACTGTCCAAATTGAAATCCAGCACTTTTTTGAAAATCTTCATCTCAGTTTTCAACTCATCCAAAATCTGCAGAATCACCTTCAAGAACAGACTCAGAGAAATCATCATCAAAGACGCGTCAAAAGCTCGAATCCATCTTCCTGCTCGATCAGCCCAAACAACTTCTTCACACAAGACTTCAAATTATCCGAGCCAGCTTGGTTTCTCTTCTCTGCCGCGTCTCACTCATACACTCCATCAGTCTACACAGGAAACATTTCCTTCTCAGCCTTCCTCTCAGACTCAATAAAAATCCTCAGACTTCATCCGATCAAACACTTCAAATCTCTCAGCTGACATGTGCTTCAAATACGAGTGCGACGTCTGCAAGAAGGCGAGATACGATTTCTGCGAGGACTACCTGCGGAACGAGGAGGACCACAAGTGGTGCAACGTCGAGGCGGAGAAGCCCTGGGGCAGCCTCCGTAAGCGCTGCCACACCTGCTACACCATCAGGGGGGTCATCAGAGAGTTGAAGGCGCTCGTCTTTCGCGAGCCATGGCTCGTGACTGAAGGAATGGCGGGCGCGCCAGAGAAGGCTGCCTGGGAGGAGGGAGAGGAAGACGGGGACGGGGAGGCCGCCGGGGATGACGTCGTCAACGACGACGACACCCCTGACGGCTTCACCAAGGAAGAACGAGACCGCGTTCGGCGTGAGGCCGAGGAGGCCGTCATGCGTCGCTGGGGGTTGATGAAGGCGGAGCAAGTCGCAAAGGAGGAGGTCAAGAAGGCTGAATAGAGAAGATGCCTGCCAGCGAGCATGACGGTCGACTCGGCCGGGGAGGTTGGCAGGTGGAGAGTTTACGTGCTGATTTGGACTTTGACAAGCCAGGGTTGGGGAGAGCGTACGCTCTGTCGCTGTATGCGACTGAACAAGAGAGATATTACATCCTGTTTTCGTCCTCAGCCTCTTCTCTTCTGTTTGTGCTTCCGGGATATGATGCTCGCATCTCATGTCTACAGCGTAATGGTAGCGAGCGAAGGCCTCTCTGCAAGATGGAGACACCAACGTTTAGACCAGGATCCTCATCATCGTCTACCACCCTCCTCAACGTGCTGAGCACAGCAAGCAAAAACCTGGTGGGATGTTCTTTTACAGCCGAGGAACGCATCCTCTACTGATACGATGGACCCTTCGTTGTGAGCGGTGGCGTTGATTCTATATTTGATACTAACCCAAATCGTGAAGGAGGCTCTTGATGCGCCGGAAGCATTCCGCAGCCCAAATTCAAAGAGTCTTGGGAGCAACGTCATTTCAACCCACCAAAAATCATGCCACAACTGGGAGTGTATCCATCACAAGAGGGCTTCAGGACACGAGATAGCGCCTCGGACAAGGAAGGGGGATCATCGGAGTCGATCTGTGCCAAAAACGCCCAACATGCCCTTCAAAGACGCCCTCGCGCATTTCAAGTCCCAGATTAAAGACCTCCAGCATGAAGGCCAGAAGTTCCTGTCGTCGGGCAGCCAGCATCAACAGCAACAACCGCCGCCCATCCCGCAAGCTACACGCCCCAGCTACCAACAACAAGGTCAGCCGGGATTCTCGCCACCGCCGCAGCAGCCGACGACATACTGGCAGGCGCGGTTCGATCCAGCTGTGCCCGTCAGCGCTGAGTGGGAGCACAAGCTGGGCAACAACAACGGGTGGGGAAATAATGAAATAGAGCATTATACGGCCGAAGGGGAGAATTCGTTCTAGTAAGTTTTCAAGTTCAGTTTCAAAACCTCGACGTTCATACTCTGGCGCTTCGTTGTAGTTTCCCTTGGCCCCTTTTTTGAGAGTGGTTCATGAGGATGGCTGGTGCTTTCGAAGACGGCGAAGAATATAGATATAGAGAGAGAGAGACACACACACACACACACACACACACACACACACACACACATTCAAGAATCATTTCGATCGTTTTGCTTTTCCCCCTTCCTGCTTTTACTCTTCCGTCCATCCACCACAGCCAAAACACAATCTTCTAACGGGACCCCTCCTTCTTTGTTGCGCTAAACAGCACGCCAAATAACCTCCTCGTTCTGCGCGCCATCTCGGCTCCATCCAACCCGGACCCGGCGAAAAAATACACCTCTGCGCGCTTAGTGTCGCGGCAACGCCTTGCACGCCCACAGGGCAGCCTGGTTGCGACGCTGACGCTTCCCTGCGCCGGAGGGATATGGCCTGCGTTCTGGCTGCTGCCGTTCGAACCCTTCGCCTGGCCGACGGACGGCGAGGTCGACATTGCCGAGACGTGGAACGGCGACGGCGTCAACCACTCGTGCTTGCACTGGGGCTTCTACACGCCGCAGGACACGATGAAGCACCGCGTCGTCGCCACCCCCGTGCAGGGCATGGCGGCCGGCCGGCCCGTGCGCTTTGAGTTCGCATGGATGCAGGACGCTGCGGGACAGGGGCGTCTGGTGTGGTGGATCGACGGGCAGGCGGTCATGAAGGCGCCCATACCGCAGGGCACGCGGCCCATGGCAGACTTCGTCGTGCTCCTCAACATCGCCATGGGCGGCACCGTCTGCGCGGGCCAGATCCCCCGCGAGGGCAGCTACGATATGCTGGTCCACGAGATGAAGATGATGGCGGAGCCCGAGGCGGGCGGATGGGCGAGATTCGAGCGGGATTGGGGCTGGGTGAGGGAGGGTGACACCATCTAAACACCGAGCGAGAGGGCATGAGTCTTTGTGTTTGTGTTTGTTTTGCCTTTTTGTTGAGCGTGGAAGATGGGTGAGGAAACTGGGATCAATCTATCTAATCCACCACTAGATACGTTTTGGATCCTTTCTCATATTGTCTTGATGTATTACGCACTCATGTCGTCAGTCATGATATTGAAGCCAGCGAGTACCTATGGCGACCACCAGACTGAAGGTCGAGTCCACGCACGAACGAGGTAGGAGTGTAATGCAGGAAATTAGCGAATGTGAGCTGGCTGTTATCTCTTCCAAATATTATATCTCATGCTGTATAAATATTCTCCATTTTTTTCTCTCCACTTATTATCCGTTTTCGTCCCTTGATCCTGTTCCCTGTGCATTCTATCCTTCGTGATCCTATTACAGACTATTATCCGACCTTTTCTCATAACGGAATGTAGTCGATGAACCGAGACGTGCACTTTTAACCAGCTTGGTACAACGCCGGTCCGGCATAGACGTATCTGTCATATGGTCAGCAACGTAATCATCTGCCTCTTCTGAATACAGGACTCACGGATTGACCATGGACAGATTGAACGGTGTAACGTAGGGATTTTGGCTTGTTAATGCAATGAACATGGTTGCGTTGACGGCAGGACTGCAGCATCAAGTTTGTTAGTTGTTGATCACAACGCCAGAGAGATAAGTAGACGGGGAGACTCGAAAATAATGCAAACTTCGAGTTCGTAAAAGAAAACTCACTCTCCAGCAAAGGTCGACATGTTGGGCTGAACAGCTGCTGCAGTGTTACCGCTAATGTTGACAAGGGGCACGAAGGTGGCGTTGAGTTGGGAGACGAAGAGGGCATAACGGGGCGCGTCGGCAAGGGATGATCGCGCGGTGATGTAGCTGTTATTGGGGCCGACCGTCTGATTCACGTTACCCCACGAGAATTGAATGGGTCTACCGGGGTAGGAGAGAGGGATGGACTTGTTCTGGCTGATAGCCGGGTCACAGTCCGAAGATCCATCCTTGGCGTTGGCGCAGAGATTGTTAGAACCGATACCGGTAGTGTTTAGAGGGTTTGAGCCTGTTGTATTCTGCACAGGGCCTTGATTGGGATTTGTCTTGGCTGGATTGGGGGCGTTCACAATGGTGAGCGCAGGGAAATTCTGCCATGCCAGACGAGTCGTGTTGGCAGGGCAGCTCGAGATATACGGAGCCAGCAGCGTCCAAGCCCACGACTGAGGAATACCGGGAATGAACCACAAGGGCATCGGAAATAGACCATCAAATTGGCGGAAAATCAACTGTTGGCGAGCTTCAGTGGTGATGGACTCGAGCAGTAGCGTGGCAGATTCTCGCGAATCCAGGTGACCAAGGAAGCCGTAGACGCCGCTCTCACCAAAGCGCGTCAGTTTCTGGCAGAAGTCGATGAACTCCCGGACGTTGGTGTAGGGATAGTTGTAGGTGCATTGAGGCGGCGCGGCAGGTCCCAGGATATTGCTGAGCAAGGTTGCATGGCCGACTTCTTGGTCTGCCATAAACTCGATCAAGAATCGATCCTCTGCGGTCAACCCGGCATTTTGGAAGTCCCGAACAGAAAATCGAGCGAGGCCGTTGTGGAAAAGATCCAGCTCAATCCATTCCTGATAAAGGGCTAAAGTCAAAGACTCATAGTCAAAGTCGGACAGCGGGTGATAATATGGCAGAGTTCCGTTGGTACCCTGACCGCCGGCTGGCTGATATGGAACAGGCATGCTGGAAGCTTGGAGCAACCCGTTGTTGTTGGTGTAAGTGACCGGTGCTGGACCACCAGGAGCGATCGATTGAGCAACCGCTGGAGCACTCAAAGCTCCCGTCACCGTGGGACCGGGACCGTTGTAAGGACCATGAGAAGTCGGGCCTGTCTGTTCACTGCTCCGAACCGGAGGAACGGGGGCGCTAGCGGGAGTGAGAGTGAGTTGAGGAGCAGGAACGGCGGCTGCAAGAGCACCGAAGCTCAAGAGAATACCCGCGTAGGACTTCATTGCGACAATGTCAAGAGAGGACGACTCCAAGGACGAGCCAAAAAAATCGGTAGCTCTGTGAGATCGTGCGGGAATTATAACTCTCATTGACAAGACTCCTCGCGAATTGCATGACCTCAACATCCCCTCCACACCGAAAGCACCCGGCTGTCAGATTCATTCCGTCCAAATCTGTCCTTGGGCCATGGAATCGGGGGTCGGCAAGCTTTTGGTCAACTGCATATTCCGCCAGCATGAGCGACGGGCGGCCGGAATGTAGCTGTCATGATGCGACCCATCAGGATTCCCGCTGCGAAGGTCCCCAATGGATATGCAGGACAGACGTCGATGAACACAGCTCTTGAGAATCGTGACGTCGTCAATGATGCTCGCAGAGGCACAGGAGGTAAGACGAGGCTGCGCAAGCCGTGTTGAGGAACTCACGGAACCCCACTGGAGTTTTTTCCGTGGCGACAATGGTATAGAAATAATGCCTAGAAGAGCCCGTTCTGCCCGCTGTCATGACGTCTGCAATGGAGCCGGATCAGATTTCCCGAAGCTGTATCCCAGCACCACCACCAGCTTCAGCACCGGCATGGCCATCAACCACTCACCTGCGCGCACCAAAGCTTCACTTGGACGGCACTCATCGGCCATTTTCCCCGCGTTGGCAAAATGCATCACTGGAGCATGGCAGTTGTCCTTATTGCAGGGATGAGGTGAGGTGGAAGTGAGCAGAAGAGAAAGACTGCGCAATCCACGTGTTGGCGGAATTCAAGAGGAGGAGTAAGGAGGGTTTATCCGGCCCAATCAGCATCACACACACATATGGCATCATCAATGCAGTGAAGCTGACGACCAGACAGTGAGTTGAGTTTTTCCTGCCGTCAAGATCCTAGGAAACCCGCGGAAGTGTCAAGGCGTGAGATTTGACAGTCATCCACGTCCGCGGGTTCTTTTCCTCCTCTCTCCTCTCTCCTCTCTCCTCTCTCCTCTCTCCTCTCTCTTGTCTCTCACCATCCTTGTCCCATCACTTTCCGGCTTCCAACCAGATGTGCCGTGACCATCAGCTCATGTGCAATAACCCCCATGGTCATTTCGGGGATACATGCCATGCAGCGTGATGAAAAGATGCTCTCAGCCTTGGACATATGATCATAAGAGAGGTAAGTCTCAATCTGGGATCGGATTGGCTTTCGTGAGCCCGCGAGAATCGATCCTCGCTGATCAACAACGCGAGACGCGAGAGGCAAGACGATCTAGGCAAAGGAACTTCAGCCCACTTTGCCAGTCGGTCATGACGTGCAATGTTGAGCCGACGTCCACCTGCACTTGACCCTCCCTCCTCATACATATACATATGTACATATAATGTAGCATGACCAAGTGGCGAAGAATCTGCAAGACGGGACGGAAAAGGCAAGGACCTCGTCTCGCATCATCGGCACAATGCTCAGCTGAAGCCCCATGAGGCTCGGCATTGATCCAATGGGGAAACTACAAACCCCTGAATCGAGGGCCACTGTGAAACAAGACAGGAAAAACCTCATTGCACCATCGCGTCCATCTCCTCATCCTGCACCTCAGCAGCGCCAGCGCGTCACTGGACATCACGGGGGAGTCGATGGCACCCAGATTGCGTCTCGGCTGAATAGCCTGACACCAATTTTGGACACTGGGACTTGCTCCTTTTTCACGTTTTCTGGCACCAGCTACCGCCCGTGATACCCAAACGACGGCGGCTCACCTACTCCACGCCCGTTGACCATGCTGCATTGGGACTTGCGGCAGGCTTCTAGCGTCGCCCAGATCCTTTGTGGCTGCACTAGTAGGCGTCCCACTGGCTGAGCGCCCCGGTACCTGCGCAAGCCCCCGAAGCCTTAATTTGAGCCTTTGGAGCCTTTCGACTCTCAAGCGAGACTCTCCTTCTCCTGACTGGTCTGTTCCCCCTTTCAACCCCCTGTTGGGTGTTTGTTACCTCGCCGTTGCCCACCATGGGTCCATGGGATTCACGGGACTGGCTACACATCGTGTCTGATGGGCGGCGCTGGGGAAATTGCACTGGCAGTACACTGAATTAGCCTCAATCGGTGCATGGCTCGTCTACCGGGCTCCAATCTCCCTGGCTAGCGATAACAGTACAAGAACCTCCAGACGCCCAAAGCCATCATCTTCTTCCCTTCCTATACTCAAGCTGCGACTTCAGTACCACAAAAGCTTTTGACTTCGGTCGTCCACTCTTTCGAGTTCAGCTCACCCACGCTCGTTCAAGCACCACCATCGCCGTCCTTCGTTTCTCCGAAGTTATTTTTTTTCTTCTTTCCGATTCCGGTAATTCGATCTCAACCTAACCAAACTTCAATCCAAAATGCGCACCACCATTGCTGTCGCTGCCGGCCTTGTTGCCGTTGCATCTGCCCGAACCACCACCATCACCGACACTGTCGATGTGACCATCACCTCATGCGAGCCCACTGTCACCAACTGCCCTTATAAGGGCGGCTCTGACCCTACCTGGGGCGATTGGAGTGCCACTGTCTCGACCACCTCCAGCGTTCCGGTCAAGCCCACGGGCACTGCCAGCGGGTCCTGGGACCCTACCTGGGCCGACTGGTCCAGCAGCACGAGCAGCAAGCCCGTCGACCCAACTGGCACCTGGTCCGATTGGGTTGGTACTACGACCACCTCAATTCCTGTGTCGGCAACCACCGCTCCTTGCGGCAAATACATGGCCACCACTCCTCCGGCTTGGTTCTCTCTCCTCCCAAGTGACAAGCTCAGCTCTATCCAAGCCCAATGGACCGGTGCTCCTCCTTCTGACTGGTGCTACTGGACTTACAGCACTGGCTCTCTCCAGACAACTGCCACTCCAGTTTCGGCCACGAGCTCTGCTACCTGGGGCACCTGGGAGGCTGCTTCCTCGGTGGCAGCGTCTTCGACCTGGTCCTCCCCTGTTGCCGCCGCGACTGGCACTGGTGCTTGGTCTTCTCCTGTGGCTGCTGCTTCGACTGGCGTCTGGTCCTACTCTGGGTAAGCACTTTGGGCGATTTCTGGCGCCCTATAAAGTTTGAGACGTGCAAGGCTAACTGTTTGAGCAGCTCTTCTACCCCTGTCGCTCCTGCCGTCGCCACCTTCACTGGTGCTGCCAATGCCAACGCAGGTTCATTTGCTCTTGCTGGTCTCGCTGCCGCCGTCGTTTTGGTCATGGCATAAGCAGGTTTGATCTTATGAGGGGCTTTCGAACATTTTTTCTGTCACGATCCACATGGCCATTGCATTTGCAGGAGCAGCGAAGAAATCCTGCTTGGTATCAGAGAACAAAGCAGCATGTCTGGGGAGGTCGTCTAGGGGAGAGCAGCGAGTGTTTCTGTAATTAGTTGCAAGTGTGCATGGGGTAGTTAGTAGCATGATTTGAAGATGGTCCCTTCTTTGCACATTATCTTTGTACGCAGCAAGGAGGTGCTGGCTTGACCCGCTGTAGCTAGCATTGCGTAATACCTGTTCATCGGATCTCTGGCTTGCTGTTTTGTCGCCTATATCTTGCCAGCCTTTAGGCTCAGTTCTTCCATTGCAACCGTTGACGGCTTGAGGTTCGTACAGAATATGGAGTGCAGAGAACTCGGTACTCGCGGGACCTAGAAAGGAGGAGTGGAGGTTGAGGCTATGAAACGTGGTGGGTGTTTGGGAAATTGGATGTGGCCGGATTTAGAATCTCACAAAACGCCACTTCATCCTCTTCCTCGCTTTCCCCATACGGATCATCTGTCATACCTTCATTCATCCTTCACGAAATGAAACACCATGGATCAGGCTGCCTTGGCATTACTCAATAGCAACAGCGAGGCTGCTTCCAATTGGGGAGGAAAGATTGCACACCGAACAGGGTTTTGTGATTACCCATACAAAATTGTCAACAGCAATCTCGCCTGGACCTGAGGTCCGTGACATGTTCCCACGTGGCAATCTCGTGGTGCTTGTATTCTCCCCAGACCGATGATCACATTCGTATTTGAATCTGTGGGGGAAAGTGAAAAGAGAGAGAAATCAGCGGTGGCTGATTCGATGACCAGACAATCTCACCCCAACATTGCCAAATGTTGAACGGAAAAGTATATGATCGGCTCTGTCCTCGTTTTAGTTGCTTCACCAACCAAGCTCTTTCCATGATAACAGGTTCAACATCTATTGACGGGTGCCAGGTGTAACCCAAACAAGGACCGATGTCCTGGACGGACCCCGAGCAACACGCCGTCCAGATTCCATACAGGATCTTCTTGCAGGCTTCATCTAGCTCCTGCGGAAGGAAGCAGTCTATCCGGTTCAATGTCTGCCGGTCTTCGACGGCATATAATCGTCCCGCATCTCCCACCACCTCTGAGCCAGATCGAGAGTCCCGCTATTCTGGGCCACCTGAGGCACTCCGCCGAGGCTCCCATCGCCCCAAAGGCCTGAGACGCTCGACTCTTTGGACCCCAACAGGGCCGGTTTTGATCGACAGACTTGGGGCTATTATGTAGTTGAACCTCGCGGGTTGGCCATGTGAAGGCTTGAGGCTGACACCGCCCCCAGCTCGTCAGCTCTAACTTCTTGCGGCAACTTTTCATAAGACTTCTTTTGCGAAGGAAGCACTTCGTTTTCCTTTCTATTGCACCGTGAACAGGGAAGTTCGGACCGCGAAGAGCCTCCCGTCCACCGCCTCGACCGGCGGGACAATCTTCCTTCGCAGGCTTTCATTATCTTTTGCAATCATACCGGCATGGATGTTGGCTTCGATATTGGGCTGAGTGGCAATTCGCGAGCTCATGGCAGTGGAACTGGAACTGCAACAAGGAATGCACCACAGCCAACAAGGTTCCTTAGCCTGCCTCGCTGGCAAAATGGTATCCTTCACTGTGCCGCGACATGTTGGCCCCCTCTACTATGATTATTCTGAAGCTTACCGCTTACTCGCAGTTGTTCCCCGCGCCATGTGTTGGCGCGGCACCTTGGTGTAAGTTCTGACGACGTGTAGACGCCGAGTACAAAACGGAGTGTGATTGCTGAAACTTACCTCGTTACGCGCTTGACTTCATCACGATTTAGTCTAATAAGTTCGTTAACTCATATGTCGCCCTTCGCTATGGCCTGACGGCAGGCCATGTTCAATTTCGTCCTTTGAGGAGCGATTTGGTTCGTTACCAACGTCTCTTCGTCCTTCTCGGATGATTTGCGTCGAGCATCAACGGAAACCGCGAGGAGGAACCTAGAAAGATCATTATCGTATTTGCGATACTCTGACTACTTCGCCCACCTTGGTGGTGAATGATCCTCAGACTGGACTTGTCATGATGAGTTCCTCGAGCAATAATGTCTTCGGTCACGTTCGAACAAGGCTGCGACAGTCTCGCTCTAGCGTGGCGCTGACGACCTCGACACCCTCTCAATTTGAGTACACCAATTGGGAAAATGTTCCCATGGCATTTCAGCCGGTCGAGAGGGCAGAGGTTCGAGTTGTGCATGGCTACTACTTGGATCGACCTCTTCCTGGGCCCCCTCCACGCCCCCGAACAGCATCTCCGGCTCCAGCTTTCGAGGCTCAGGCCAGTATGGATATGGGCAATCTCAGAAATCCCACTCCTCGGACACATCGCACCAGATCGGCTGAAATAGCGCAGAGGCACTGGTCAGGTTTTGATGATCATGAGGCGGTCACTCAAAACAAGAGAGCAAGTGTCAACATTGCCATCGCCCTCCCCCCAGACCATCTCGATCCTCCTCCACCGTACTCTCGCTATCCCTCTCCGTCATCCACGCGGTCTGAATATCGGCCAAGTCCACAGCCTCCGCATGTTCACGGCCAGCCGTTTATCAAACCATACGATCCAATCGACTATGTCAGTCAACCAGGTCAGACTACAAGACGGCCGCCAGAGGACATCCCCACCATAGCTGCTCCGGAGCCGCCCACTCCAGTTTCTCCTCTTAACGCCCTGGATTTGCAGTACTTGGCTATGAGACATCCTCCAGCCACCGATGGTAACGTTACCATCGAGGGCCTATTGGGTCACCCTTTGCTGCAACATAGGTGACCTTCTAGACCCTGGCATTCTAGTGAGCGTGGTCCGCAACGAATCCAGACACTTTCGATCATTGGGCAGGATTGGTAGGCGCTAATTTCAACCGAGAAACCAGACTCGGATCAAGGCCACCGTGCAGAGGATCTTCGGCGGGGACGTGCATGCTCAGACCATGGCCGATCCGGGTCCCAGGTCCCCACGCGCATGTCTGGGGGAGGCAGGAGGAGGAACCCTTTTCCCGGCCACTACGATCGCGGTTTGGTGGAATGTGACACGCGAGGAGAAGCCCCTTCGCTCCGCGGTTGTGGGATGCGTTACAAGGAATCATTGCTTTATTTGACACCCACCGCCACAGGCAAGTCTGATTTCAATCACCATTTTTCGCTCATTAATTCTTTTCAAACACTCCTTTGACTTTCCACGTTTTCCTATACGTCGCTATTTCGTTTCCGGCAAGACATTCTTTCCACAATTGCATAACAAGCATTCACTCATTAGCTGGTTTGAATGGCGCCGATCCCTTCTCTCGGCGCCATTGCCGACATCAACACCTTCAGCATTTCGTCTCGCCAGCTTGTCTCTCGCGCTCTACCTTCCGACTCCCTCATCGCTGCAATTGTCGTTCTCTCAGTGATCTCAGCCCTTCTATTTGTCAGTATAGTCTTCTTGTTGGTCGGAATCTGGAAAAAAGCGACGGCCAAGAGAAACAGTTCGCCTCCACCCGAAGCACCTCAACCCCACGGGACCATCTCCGAGCGCAAGCAGAGTGACTGGGCCAGGAAGAATAGTAACGTGCTCTGGTCTATGTATATCGAAGAGGACGACCTGAACGCTCAATTCGCCGTGTCGCCAAAGTCGAGGCTTTTCTCCATTGGATCTGTCTCCACCGTCGATCAGGGAAGATGTCCCCTGGATCGTCGACATTCACACGCCAATCCACTGGGCCAGCACAAGATCGATGAGGAATTGAGCCCAAAGACAGAGGAGTCTTCTGCCGACCTACGCAGCAGAATACCTTACGAACACCAGACCACCCCAACAAAGAATGTCCCTCGTGCGCGAGCCTTGTCTCAACCTTGCTGCCACAAGTATAGCAGCTCAATCGAGGAGCTGGCAAAACACAAACAAAGCGTACCCTCGCGGATCTCTGAAGAGGGTATGGAAGGCTACAAGTACTACGGAGGCCCATGAGTACAAGATTCGGAACGGCTTCTGCAGATATGTGGACACGATGGTTGAATAGAACCTGGCTTGGGGCCATCTTTCATTTAGGACGCCCACCACTTTCTTATACCTCTGCGTTTGAGACCAAGACCTGTTCAATTCAACTTGCACTTCATCGTATCCTACTCCGGTGACGTCTCGGACGATCTCGTGAAAGCCCAGGTCACGTGTTAGCAGCCTTTTCGCATCCTTGTTAAGGTCCTCAAAATTCTTGCTTCGTCTCTATTCGTCCCTCCACCAATTGCTTCACACAAGACATTCGATTCTAGACACCCACTGTACCTTGCAGGAATGTCTTGCGCCAATAATGCTGATGGGTTTGTCTGCATGCGACCCCGATTCACCAGGGCCGCCACGCCCATGTCGGGGATTCAATGCTGGGAGCTTCGAGAGGCTGATGACGAGATGACGGATCCTCTCCATCGCTGTCGACCGCTGTGCATAAGAGATAAGTTTGCCTCATTGTCCTCATTGTCCTCATGTGCTCCTTCCCATTCAAACTTCAAGGGAGGCTGCCCGGCTCACTTTCCCATCCATTGTTGTTTGGAAGGAGCTTTCACAACCGGCATTTGAACCCTGGCAAAACATCTTGTCTTTCCCCTTCTCTTGACCTTCTTGTCCTCATTTTCATTGCTATTCTGCTCTATTTGGAACAGGCTCTGAAAATGCTCCTCAACGCCTCGCACAAGCTCAGCTTCAGCGGGCTTCCCCCCGATCTGCTCGATGCCTATGTGCGGTACAAGAAAAACACACGTGCTCTCCTGACTTGGTTCCTCCAGCACAGTCCAGCGCCACCCAAACCAGTCAAGAGCTTAACCATCAAGGAGCTTGAGTCGATGGCTCAAGCAGCATCCAAAAAGCTTCGTTCTCTGCCTGATGTTGTTCATTTCTACTTCCGAGAGACGATTGCAGATCGGAAGAGATTCAGCAAGTACTACCGTACCCAGATCGATGGTTCCGCTGGGGAGCTCGACACGATCAATCACGAACATTTCACTGACACGCAAGTCTCGAGTTGCGGACAAGCTGATCCAAATGCTGACGCATTGCGCAGTCTTGCAAAAATCTACGACGATCTCTGCGTCTGTTGCGGTGGCCACAAGGCGCAGCACCGCAAATCGTCATCCTCGTCTCCAGTCTGCCCTTCACTCCGTCCGGTCAATCAGTACGAGGGATTGACAGTCGAGGAAGCCGAGGACCATGAAGGCCAGAACACTGGGACAATAGCGGCTCCGGGGGGGTCCAAGCTCACCACGCCGACACCATCGTTGGCTGGCGGCCAAGGTTTGGACATTCATCTTGCAGATGACGAACTCGGCAGGGCCCTCGAACTAGCAGCCGCCGCGCAAGTAGGTCATCCGCGAGTGGCACGAACATCCTGCTAATGAAACTAGCAAATCCACGACATCTCCTCCTCCGTCGATCTTTATTGGCAGCTTGCTGGAAAGGGCCAAACATCGGTCGCAGTCGCATCTTTCATCACCAATGTCGCTCTTGCATCCCTGCGCCAGGTTGTTAACGAGTTGCTCCAGCATGATGAAGACTTTTGCCTGTCAGACTTACATGACATATGCTCCTCCGCTCGTGCAGCGAGTCCAATTGAAGTCGGCACTCAGAAACTCATGTGCACAAACAAAGCCCTGTTGGGTCGACTGCAGCAAATTGAACAAACCTTATCGGATCTGTCAACTGGTCCCTTGCCTTTTGGTGCCCCATCTTGCGCGAGGTGTGGTCTCAAAGAGGCACAAGAAGCCCAGGCGAAAGTCATCAAGGACAATGCCAGCAGCCAATACCTCTCGTCAGCCATCATCGAGAAGATTGTCGATTTGGTACGTAGCAAAGCGGCAACAGTGGAGATTATCAAGGCTAGCACTCCAGTCTGTTTGGATCTAATCGATATCATTACGGATCCGAAGAATAATACAAAGACTTGGTCGGCTGTTCTGGGATTGAATCTCCTAACCCAGAGTTACGGGGCCTTCCTTCGATCCCTTCCGAAGCCACAAATGGCCTCACAGGGGCGTATCATCGCACTGAAGCTTGCGCACCAGGCTCGCTCTCAAGTTACGACAGTTTTGAGCAACAAGACGGCCTTTCCCTGCCGCTGTCCTCAGACTCTTGGCTGCCACCTACAAAATCTGGAAACCAACCTGCAGGAATACGCAAGCCACAATTGCTGGGACCTGGTTTTCCAATCGCCATGGGTCGCTGGGAATCACGTCCTCGAAATATTAGACCTGTGCCATTACTATGGGCTGCACTTACTCAAATATCGGCATTACGTGGGGGCGGTGCTGCATTCTTACAACGTTCTCAGGCAACTAGGCGGGCTAGAGGAAAACTCGACTCTGGAAAAACTATGCTCTCAACTTCGCGACGTCTTGTTTCCTGCTTCCAATCCGCCAAAGTCAAACTTTCGCGCTTGCTGGGCTAGACACGTGGGGGCCAGGTTGAAATTCGAAAAGGGTCACAAGGGCAAGAGCAAACATGACAATTGGTGTCTCGCTATTCCTGCGCACGCAGCGAAGGCGGCAGCTGGATTCGACATTCCCAACCACCAACAGAAGGTCGGGTCGGGCTGCGTGGTGTTCCACATTAAGCACAAGAATTACCACGTCAGTGATGATCAATTGCAGAACCTTACCGCACCCCTTGAGCGCCTCCGGCAAAAGCGGGGAGATATGGGAGCAAAACTTGTTTGCAAGAGTGACTTACCGATAATTGAACCTGCATTGCAGAATCCAAGGCTCCTTCCGCTTGTTCTGGCGACTCACGGGGTATTGACCAATGGTGTGCGCGGATTCTTTCCTATGGCTCGGCTGAACCTCTTTGCAGTGTTTGAGCGATGCCTCCGTGTGGTCTCACTGGTCTCGGACAAGACGCATTCTGACAACCAGTCTGAAAGGGGGATTGCTTGCATCTGCTTCTGCACTGAAATTTTCATCGCCGCGGATCGTATTGTTAAGGCCAGACGACTGGGCAAGCTTGAAGCATGGAAAGAACACGAGCGCAAGCTTGTTGAGGACACGAAAGAAGCAATCCAAACAGTCTTTGGTGGCATCTCAGAGGATGAGTTGTTGTGGAATGCCTGAGGTCCATGCTCATGAGCCTGGGAGGCGGAGACTGGGCTTCAGTGTGTCGCAGGCGGCGAAGCACAGGTGCAATGAGTTGGAAGGGCATTTCAAAGAGCAGGCGGATGATTGTTACTGAGGTCTGGTGTGGTCTTTCCCTTTCGGCTTGTGAAGGGATCAACGGGACAGGAGAGCAAGACAATCATAGTCACAATTCGCGAGGTTGTTTGTCACCAGTCGCTATGGAATAAGAAAATGATGGAGATCTGACTATTACAATCTGCCTCCCTTGCTGATCACAGTGTCACCCTTCCACAGACTTCAATCCCGCATCATCCGTCGACATGACAACCGAATTGAACTTGTCCGACGTGGGCAGTTCAATATGAACGTTGTTCACCGTGGCAATGCCCACATTTACCTCGCGCGCCTGCAGTTCAAGAACATGACCTCCAATCTTCCTCTCTTGGTCAATGAAATGCATATGCTCGCCAGCCACGAAAAAACCTTGCCACGCGACCGGCGAGCGGAATCCCACAATCGTGCCCTCGACGTCGTGGTACTCTGCCACAAACTGCTTCTTGCCCAGCTCGCTCAGCGGCTGCCCGTCGTATTCTTGGCCCTTTACCGTGCGACACTTCAACCGCTGGAACACGCCCTCGATCCGGTACGACATGAACAAGTTACTCGCGTGGTCATTGAACTCCTCGAGCACTGCGTCGATCGAATCCTTTGTGTCCAGCTTGACCGTCACCGTCCTCTGCGAGCGAAAGTGCGTGGCCGCAGCATAAGGGATCTCGTCGTCCTGGTCGGCCACGCGGATTTTGCCCTCAGCCTGTAACTGGTAGACGGCGCCGTCAAGCAGGAGGAGCTCGCCGTCCATGCGCACGAATGTGCCCAGTCCCTGATTGCCCTTCTGCAGGAGTTTGGAGACGGTGATGCCGCTGTCCGAGACACCGGACATGAGGGCACTATACGTACAGAAGTTGTTTTGTTCGTCAGCCAACACTGCATTCATCACTGCATCACAGACGCGAGTGTTTTGGAGGGGAGGAAATGGATTAAATGAATGGATGGATGGATGAACGATGCCACCGAGAAAGAAAAATAGATTCCGTTTAGAAAATAGTGAATCCACTTACTTGACTAGGGAGTATTGGTAGATCTCATTGACCGCCATGCTTTGCTTCCCTTCGCGTTAGAATCGCAATCCCTATCCTCCCTGATGGATGTTGTTGGAATGAATATGCTTGCTTCGTTTCAATGCTTTGTCTCTATCTCTCCTCTTTAAGCGCTTTCTCACCTTTCCTCGTCCCCGCTAGTCCAATGGGCGACAGCGGCGACGGCAGCACTTTAAATGCCTCAACTTTTTCTGATGTCTCTCTCTCTCTCTCTTTTTCTCTCTGCGCTGTTTCTTGCTCTCTTCTCATTCCTTATCGGCGGCCCAAGCGAGAGTCGGAATCGCAGTCGAGCAGGCTGTCATGAATGTCTGGGGAGAAATGCGTCGCTCCGGACACCTCATTATTTACTGAGGCAACACGGAATATCCGGCTGTCAGTGTGGTTTTATTTAAATAATTTAAATACTTTTGAGCCTTATTTACTATTTAAATAGTCAAGGTTAACTATTTATATTGTAAATACATGTTAGACACAGCCTTAGAAGAGACCGATCACGGGCTGCGAAGGCGCGGCTCAAGACACTCATTGGACAGATGGAAGGATCCACAAGGGAACAAGGCTAAACCACGTGATATACCCTATTGGCTCTGTCGGCCCTGTGGGCTCTACCAGTAGAGCGCGTAGAGCGTACAGAGCGCACAGAGCAAGAGCATTATATATACCCTCGTTTCCTCCCTAGATAGCCTACACTCTCTTCGTAGCTAACTTATGTTAACTATTGAACTTATAGTTCTTAGTGATAAGTGACTTCTTATACCTTACGTTCTTCCTAACTAGTTCATACTATTAGAATTGTTACTAGGAACCCTAACTTAGTTAGGCCCCGGTAGGAACCTTAATACTTTGGCTACCACCCTTATTATAAAGAACGACCCCTATAAGTAGTTAAGAAAGACCCGACCGATCTATCTCGTCTATTAACGAACTAGTACGACGCACAGTACGACTATCTCTTAACGACACTATATCTACTACTACTAGTACCCCGAGGTTAACACCGAGTATCTTAAGAACGGTAACAACTACCGCCGCATCAGTACCAATAACTAAGGGAAAGATTAGTAATCTATCTAAGCCTTTTAACGGCGTAGAATCTAAACTTATACTCTTTATTCACCACACGAATTTATATATTCTAATGAATCTCACTAACTTTTAAAGTAACTTATAGAAAATACTCTTTATAGAAAGTTACTTCGAAGGTGATACCGAGGCTTAGCTTAGACTCTTCGTTAAGAACTATATTAAGAACGAAGCGAATAATAGAGAGAACGAGACTATTAGTCTCTTCGCTACGTTTACGGAATTTAAGGAAATAGTAAAATTAATATTCGAGGCGAAAGATAAAGAAAAAGAAGCTTAAAAGAAAATAGTAAGTCTTCGATAAACTAAGTCTATTTAAGAATATATAACTAAGTTTAGAACGTTAAATGCGAAGCTTAGCTAGTAAGATAATATCATTATCTCTATCTTTCGAGAAGAATTAAAGCCGAAAATTAAGTAGGAACTTCGATATTTAGAGAAAAAACTACTGGAAAAATAGATAGCTACGGCTATTAAGAAAGATAACGATATTAAAGAATATCACTAATATAAGCGCCTTAATATTACTTAAAAAATCTATACGATAAGGGCTTAACGAGCTAATATCTAGAAAAGACGCGAACTCTATTACGGGTCACAATTTATAGATCTAAACTAAGCGTAAAAAAGACGTAATAATAATAAAGAAAATAGAAAAGGAAAAATCGATCTTAGAAAAGGAAAAGAAACGACTTATTATAGTTACGGTAAGCTAGACCATTATACGAAAGACTATAAAGATAAGAAAAAGTAGATTATAGCTACCGAAAAGAAACCTAAAACTAAGGAAATAGCGACGATTATCTCCGAAGCTAATATAATAGAAGAAGAAATAGTAGTAGTCGAAGAAAGCATCGATAGTGGGAAAGCGATATTAATAGCGATTATATTTACGCGTATATATATCCGAACTAAATACTAAGTAAGAAGGATATATTTAGACCTCTACTGCACTTCAACACTACTAGAATATAGCTATACTATATACGAACTAGGGAACTCTCCTTCTAAAATTAAAATGATCTTTAGTATAAGAGTCTACTAGAACGATGAATACCCATAGAAAGGAAGTTATTTAAACTTTATTTATACTCACTAAGAAGACGACCCGAATACCTTAAACGTTCACATATCGGAAGTAGACCCGGAAGTACCGAGAGAATATAATATAGCTAATTCGCAATATGACTCCGACTTAGATCTTAGTGAAGAACCGAAGACTCAGTATAAGAAAGAACTAGAATCTCTTATATAAGAAGAATTAAAATAAATTCTCTAAGAAGTAGTAGAAAGAATTAAAGTAAGAACTTAATAAACTTAGAAATTAATAAGGGAAGTAGAGATAACTTTAGTAGAAGAAACCCGATTACGGGCCCTTATAGAAGATAATTTAAGAGAAATCGTAGCGATTACTTAAATATCTAAGAAGAAGATATAAGCTCGATTAACAATAGATCGAATATTAGCTAAAGTAGAGATAGAGATATAAGCGATCTTAAGAATCTACCGAGAACGAGGAGTTAGAGTTTCTCGACTCGTAGAAACTCTATTTAATATCAGTATTTAAGAACTATTCTCTTATAGTGTAACAGAGCACTTTAGGGTTTAGCGTGCACGTACAACAACGCACAGAGGCCTATCCAGCAGATCGGGAATCGGGAACGCGTTTCTAGTTAATACTGACAACAACACCACCAACACCACCCAGAGAGGCAGCGACTAGGGCTACGAACACCTAGCACAGCGGCAGCATCGAGAAACAGAACAGAACTGATAAAACACTCTCAGGATTTAGGTAGACGACACCAAAAGCCATAGAATTCATAATACTCTACTCAATCTGTAAAAAATAAATGGCATACTGCCAGCACTGTAAACTGTTCCGCACCTCCTCTCTACCAGCCCATTTAGGTTTAATATGTAACTAGACAACTTTTTCACCTTGCCACCGCTCTACCAGCCCAGCACAGCCCATCACAGCACAGCCACCTTACCTTATTACATCCCTCCCTCTCCTATCTACAGGACGACCTCGTCCGACAGCACACAGCACACTCAAGAATTATCTAACTCTATTATTGCCTAGAGAGCGGGTCCGCAGTACTATAAGAAGAAGCTCGCAACGGGAGTAGATTCTTCTCTCTTATTGAGTCTAAAACACGAACTAGAATACCACTAGTAGGTGTAATAGACCTACTCGGTCTATATAAGGACACCGAAGACGCTCTTAACATTCCGCTTTAATAACCACTCTATCTTGGGGTCGAGTCTATTTCCATACCAATGTTGCTCGGTAGCTCTAGGGTTCGCTCTTAAAATCCTCTCTTAACTGACTGAGCAACGCGAGGGAAGAGAGAGTTCACTCTTAGCGTTGAGATTCTATCCTAAGGATCATTACTATTATATTCTAAACCTATTCTCTCTTCGCTATATAGGTCGATATGAGCCTATAATATCTAGTTCGTATTCTCTTAGTTAATGAGATCAACAACACTTTCATCTAGAGTGGCCATCACAACAGACTTTAATGGCTACCACCCACTGGTTTCTACGCGAGACGACCATAATAATGATATCTTTTCATCCCTAATAATAGCTTAATAAATATCCTAAATAAGTTAAACTCGATGGGAAGTGTCGATTTTGACTTCTTTAATAGCTTCAATACCGTTTTCCATAAGAGCTCTAGCCCAAAAGATAATAAACATTCCGTAATTATAGTCATTTAGTTATTTATTGACATTGACATTCTGAAATGTGAACTGTCTACCGTCTTCGAGCTTTACTCGAACTTAAGAGTTGAGATACTCCAAAATGATCGAAATCATTGAGTCTTTTACCGTGCGCTTCCTAATCGAATCCATAACGTAAACGATTCGAGAATCGAGATCGACGTATACTAACCACCAATGGTTGATCTCTCGATAGGGGATTAGCTTCTTCTATATAAACTTATCTTATCGCCACGATCGCGACTAGGTTATAAACGTAAATGTTCCTCGAACGTTATATAGGTAGATCACATTCTATTCGTCTTTCACTTAGTGCTTTCGGTAAGTCGCGATGCCTTTAATAACGCAATCTATAGACAACTAACCGTCATAATCCGCACTAAGTAAAAGATGTTCTAATTCTTTCTTGTTAATCATACATTCTCCCGAGTAGTAATTCCCGCCGCGAAGAGGTTTCTTTACTCCGCGACTGTGCTCTTTAAATTTCTTTAAAGCGTCTCGAATTCGCTGAATTTCTAACGTACCTTTTTTAGCCTTCACTCTTTCTATAATTCGAATTACTTCGAGGGTAGCGTAACACTAAAGAGATTACCTCGAACTAACATTAGTCGGTAATACTTCGATTAATCTTTAAAATGCTCGTATAATAGCTTTAAATCCGTACTAAATCACTTTATCCGCTTACCGCTTCGTCAAAGTATCTTTACCGGTATTGTACCTAACTCTCTTAGATCAGTCCATAACAATCTCTCATACTAGTCTTTCCATATTGAAAGGATTCCTTAATAGATTTTATTTATATAGTCTCGTATTAAAGGGCGAAGATAACTCTTAAAACTCTCCACGGAGATGTTTACTATTGGTAATAGTTTCTTTAGCTTCCGTAAACGCTTATTTAGTGAACGAGAAGTATATTCGCTTAAGAGCTCTCACTTCTATCTCTAAAGATATTCTTAGAACTGACGATA